CGAATACAACAGGTGCAGACATTGCAGTGAAATGCTTACTTACAGCCCTTAACCAACAGTGCATTTATTTTAAACAAAAAAAGTAAGAATAAAACAACAACAACAAAAAAGTGTTGAGAAAAAAAGAGCAGAAGTAAAATAAAGTGACAGTAGGGAGGCTATATATACAGGGGGGTACCGTTGCAGAGTCAATGTGCGGGGGCACCGGCTAGTTGAGGTAGTTGAGGTAATATGTACATGTGGGTAGAGTTAAAGTGACTATGCATAAATACTTAACAGAGTAGCAGCAGCGTAAAAAGGATGGGGTGGGGGGGCAGTGCAAATAGTCCGGGTAGCCATGATTAGCTGTTCAGGAGTCTTATGGCTTGGGGGTAGAAGCTGTTGAGAAGTATTTTGGACCTAGACTTGGCACTCCGGTACCGCTTGCCGTGCGGTAGCAGAGAGAACAGTCTATGACTAAGGTGGCTGGAGTCTTTGACAATTTTGAGGGCCTTCCTCTGACACCGCCTGGTATAGAGGTCCTGGATGGCAGGGAGCTTTGCCCCAGTGATGTACTGGGCCGTACGCACTACCCTCTGTAGTGCCTTGCGGTCAGAGGCCAAGCAGTTGCCATACCAGGCGGTGATGCAACCAGTCAGGATGCTCTCGATGGTGCAGCTGTAGAATTTTTTGAGGATCTGAGGACCCATGCCAAATCTTTTTAGTCTCCTGAGGGGGAATAGGCTTTGTCGTGCCCTCTTCACGACTGTCTTGGTGTGTTTGGACCATGATAGTTCGTTGGTGATGTGGACACCAAGGAACTTGAAGCTCTCAACCTGTTCCACTACAGACCCGTCGATGAGAATGGGGGTGTGCTCAGTCCTCTTTTTTTTTCCTGTAGTCCACAATCATCTCCTTTGTCTTGGTCACGTTGAGGGAGAGGTTGTTGTCCTGGCACCACACGGCCAGATCTCTGACCTCCTCCCTATAGGCTGTCTCATCGTTGTCGGTGATCAGGCCTACCACTGTTGTGTCGTCGGCAAACTTAATGATGGTGTTGGAGTCGTGCCTGGCCATGCAGTCATGGGTGAACAGAGAGTACAGGAGGGGACTGAGCACGCACCCCTGAGGGGCCCCCGTGTTGAGGATCAGTGTGGCAGATGTGTTGTTACCTACCCTTACCACCTGGGGGCGGCCCGTCAGGAAGTCCAGGATCCAGTTGCAGAGGGAGGTGTTTAGTCCCAGGATCCTTAGCTTAGTGATGAGCTTAGAGGGCACTATGGTGTTGAATGCTGAGCTGTAGTCAATGAATAGCATTCTCACGTAGGTGTTCCTCTTGTCCAGGTGGGAAAGGGCAGTGTGGAGTGCGATAGAGATTGCATCATCTGTGGATCTGTTGGGGCGGTATGCAAATTGGAGTGGGTCTAGGGTTTCTGGGATTATGCTGTTGATGTGAGCCATGACCAGTCTTTCAAAGCACTTCATGGCTACAGACGTCAGTGCTACGGGTCGGTAGTCATTTAGGCAGGTTATCTTAGAGTTCTTGGGCACGGGGACTATGGTGGTCTGCTTGAAACATGTTGGTATTACAGACTCAGTCAGGGACATGTTGAAAATGTCAGTGAAGACACTTGCCAGTTGGTCAGCACATGCTCGGAGTACACGTCCTGGTAATCCGTCTGGCCCTGCGGCCTTGTGAATGTTGACCTGCTTAAAAGTCTTACTCACATCGGCTACGGAGAGCGTGATCACATAGTCGTCCGGAACAGCTGGTGCTCTCATGCATGCTTCAGTGTTGCTTGCCTCGAAGCGAGCATAGAAGTGGTTTAGCTCGTCTGGTAGGCTTGTGTCACTGGGCAGCTCGCGGCTGTGCTTCCCTTTGTAGAACTGGAAGGAATGGCGGCCAAAGGAGGTGTTGGCTTTGGGGATGACCAGTGAGATATACCTGCTGGAGCGCATACTACGTGTGGGTGTTGCTATGGTGACCAATGAGCTAAGATAAGGTGGGGATTTGCCTAGCAGTGATTTATAGATGACCTGGAGCCAGTGGGTTTGGCGACTAATATGTAGTGAGGACCAGCCAACAAGAGTGTACAGGTCACAGTGGTGGGTAGTATATGGGGCTTTGGTGACAAAACGGATGGCACTGTGATGGACTACATCCAATTTGCTGAGTAGAGTGTTGGAGGCTATTTTGTAAATGACATCGCCTAAGTCAAGGATCGGTAGGATAGTCAGTTTAACGAGGGCATGTTTGGCAGCATGAGTGACGGAGGCTTTGTTGCGAAATAGGAAGCCGATTCTTCTAGATTTTGAGTGAGAACAGAAGGTATTTCATTTACTTATAGAAAATACTTTACCGCAAATAGGAAAATACCACCTGCAACATGCAATAATGTTTAACTGATCATCATTCACTGTCTCCACAGCGCTTGAGGTGCCTTCTCCCACTGTGTGCACAGACCCAGGAGGAGCCTGAAAGGGGACAGAGGAGATATATTATTCTTGCCTCTCAGAATCAATAACACTAGTATAATATACACAGATACATGTACACACAAATGGCCTACACAGCAAGGTGTTTATTATAGAGGTAAGTTATTAGGCATATAGAGGCCTACGAGGCTTGGGCCTGTTCCTATTTCCCTTTTAACAACTGTAGTAAGAATGAATGCACGTGAAACAGACAAGGATCTCGTCCTTGCCCCAAACTGGGATCATGAAAGTCCATTATCCAGCATGCGTTTTGAGTTGCAATAGGTAGCATGACTTCATGAATGCGTAGCAAAACATTTTAGTGGCCGCCCTCTTGACAGCGGAGATACATTTCTTCAGTTTTAGAGTTAATTTAGTGCAATTCGACTTATTTTTCCTTGGGGTGGAGAAGAAAATTAGCTGTTTTACAACACATTTCCTGCAATTCTACACATTTGCAGTTTTTAATATGATATCTGAGTGAGACTGACCAACAAAGTCAATGGGGGCCCTCCGGCCGGTAATTTAACCATGATAACAAGTTTAGATAGCTGGCCGCTAAACTAACTTAGCAATCTAAAACAAATGATCTGACATGGGCTAATTGACTGACTATCAGTGACTGACATAACAAGAGAACAACTGCTAATGCACTATCCTAACTCGCAACAGTAAGTTGAGACCTAGACTGAGTTCCTAAAGAAATGGGGGGGGGGATTGATCCGAGGGCCTTCAAAATGGGGGTTGCACATCCCTGCCCTAGACAGCCTCTCTTCGCTCACAAACTACTCTAAAGGTAAGTCACCATATTGGAACGTGTGGACTAGAATAGCCTAGTTATTTATAAGCCTGTTATTTTTGGAATACCTAGCTAGTTACATAACCATTCTCTTGCAGTTCTTGGTCATTACTCAACACTTGATAAAACAATAAAAAAAATGTGGTTTTGAACAGTGTCTCTACTCTTCATTTTTTTGGTTTGTAGGATAGCCCAATACCAGAATGTGGATTGGGCCTTTAGCTAGCTATGAAGCTGTGCGTTGTAAGACAGCTACATAGATAAGCCAGGCACAATCCACGTTCAGGGATGGGCTGAATAAAGCAGAAACACCCGCTTCATGATGCGTGTTTTAATAATATTATTGGCCGCCAAAGGAGCATCGTAAGCAACCTGGTTAGGTACAAAAGGTCTGTTAGTTAGCTAGCTCACAACAGCATGCATCAAGCTAACTTAGCTAGCAAGCAGTTAAACTACCTTAGATCGTCTTCTTCGTTTGGGTGCAGCTGGTTTCTTCCGTAGGCCTTTTACAGTCGATGGGGCAAGTTGGGGTTCAGTCAGGGTAATTTGTGCATTAGGGTAGGTCAGGTTGTGTGTTTTGATTATGTCAGGCCATTCTTTGGACCAGGGAAATATTGTTGACGTATTCTGGTCATATGTCCTGGCACCCCCTCAAAATGCAGGCTACATACAGATGTCCTGAGTGGCGCAGTGGTCTAAGGCACTGCATCGCAGTGCTAACTGTGTCACTAGAGATCCTGGTTCGAATCCAGGCTCTGTCGCAGCCGGCCGCGACCGGGAGACTCATGGGCGGCGCACAATTGGCCCAGCGTCGTCCAGGGTAGGGGAGGGAATGGCCGGCAGGGATGTAGCTCAGTTGATAGAGCATGGCGTTTGCAACGCCAGGGTTGTGGGTTTGATTCCCACGGGGGGCCAGTATAAAAAATAATATATATATGTATTCACTAACTGTAAGTCGCTCTGGATAAGAGCGTCTGCTAAATGACTAAAATGTAAATGTAATGTCCACTTACTACTTTTAAGTCTGTCGTTCCGAATTAAAGTGTTCCAAATTGCTTGTTGTTTTGGGTCAGTCGGTAGTCTGTGAAATGTAACATTGTGTCGTGTGGAGTCCGACCGGCAGTACTGTACACAGCAGTTTACTTTGAGCATGTTGTATCGGCACCGGACCCCGTGTTTCACCTCACTCAGTCAGTGTTTACCTCAGACTTTGCAAATTTACCCCCCTATCGATCCCAGAGTGCAACGCGGTGTTTACGTTGTGAAGTAGGGCCAATCTATGGTTAACTAGTGTGAGCAGGTAGACAGGCCCATTGATCAGACAGTTAATGTGAGTTGATTGAGGATTATTCTCTACAAAGCCCTCCATACAGCACAGACCCCCCCCCCCCCCCCCCCCCCCCCCCCCCCCATTTACTGTAGATCTCAATAGTCTAAAGAGGCTTCCTTTACTCATGTCCTTTTCATGACCTCTAACATGAAATAACGAGACAGATGTTAGTGATATGGCGCACACTCTGTTCTTCAGGTATATATCCTAGTTTCCCTCCTCCACTAAGCTTTTGCTTCTGCTTTGCTTGCTCTTCAGTGTCTAGGCCGGTATTTGTAAAGCACTTTCGGACAACAGCTGATGTAAAAAGGGCTTTATAATATAAATATGGTCTGGCTTTATAACCCCCTCCCCCTCCTCCCCCAGTTGTCCAGTCTGTCTATCGAGGAGCCAGAGGATGCAGAGCTGGCCTACACCATGAGAGACTTGCCCCCCGTCCCCCATCCCGGGGGTGCATCTGTGGACCAACACACAACCCCGGGACGCCACACACCTGTCATTGACCAAGAACCAGAGGGAACCGGGCCCGGGATGGGGCAACCCCCTCACACCCTGGGAGGGACACCCCTGCTTCCCCGGCCCTCCCCTGGTGGCCCCCCTCCCTTCGCTCCCCCCAGGCCCAGCCGTGCCCCCCAAGAAGGAGAATTTGAGCCGCTGCAGCTGAGGAGGTACCAGCTGACCTCTATGGGGTCGCGGTCCATGGACTCCTCCCCTCAGTCCCGACCACGCAGCCCCTGGGGATGCTTCGACCCGTACGACTCTGCAGAGGTGGGTGAGGGTAGTGAGCGGTGGGTACGTGTGTGTGTTTGAGTGAGACCTATGTATGCACAGTTGTAGTGCTAGAATCATTATGAAAACTTCAGAAAGTGTGTGCAGAAGTCTGATAGTATTTGTATCTAATGATGTAGTGACCAATAAGCATATTTTACAATGTACACAGTACAGTGAATTCGGAAAGTATTCAGACCCCTTGACTTTTTCCACATTTTGTTATGTTACAGCCTTATTCTAAATTGTTTTCCTCATCAATCTACACACAATACCCCATAATGACAAAGTGAAAACAGGTTTTTAGAAATGTTTGCAAATGTATTAAAAATAAAAAACAGATACCTTATTTACCTAAGTATTCAGAACCTTTGCTATGAGACTCGAAATTGAGCTCAGGTGCATCCTGTTTCCATTGATCATCCTTGATGTTTCTACAACTTGATTGGAGTCCACCTGCGGTAAATTCAATTGATTGGACATTTTACATTTTTTTGTCATTTAGCAGATGCTCTTACATGATTTGGAAAGGCACACACCTGTCTATATAAGGTCCCACAGTTGACAGTGCATGTCAGAGCAAAAACCAAGCCATGAGGTCGAAGGAATTGTCCGTAGAGCTCCGAGAAAGGATTGTGTCGAGGCACAGATCTGGGGAAGGGTACCAAAAAATGTCTGCAGCATTGAAGGTCCCCAAGAACACAGTGGCCACCATCATTCTTAAATGGAAGAAGTAAAAGGTACATGACAGCCCGCTTGGAGTTTGCCAAAATACATCTAAAGGACTCTCAGACCATGAGAAACAAGAATCTCTGGTCTGATGAAACCAAGATTTAACTCTTTGGCCTGAATGCCAAGCGTCACGTCTGGAGGAAACCTGGCACCATCCCTACGGTGAAGCATGGTGGTGGCAGCATCATACTGTTGGGATGATTTTCAGCGGCAGGGACTGGGAGACTAGTCAGGATCGAGGGAAAGACTAACAGAGCAAAGCACACAGAGATCCTTGATGAAAACCTGCTCCTGAGCGCCCAGGACCTTAGACTGGGGCGAAGGTTCACCTTCCAACAGGACAACGACCCTAAGCACACAGCCAAGACAATGTAGAAGTGGCTTCAGGACAAGTCTCTGAATGTCCTTGAGTGGCCCAGCCACAGCCTGGACTTGAACCCGATCCGACATCTCTGGAGAGACGCTCCCCATCCAACCTGACAGAGCTTGAGAGGATCTGCAGAGAAGAATTGGAGAAACTCCCCAAAAATAGGTGTGCCAAGTGTGTAGCGTCATACCCAAGAATACTCGAGGCTGTAATCGCTGCCAAAGGTTCTTCAACAAAGTACTGAGTAAAAGGTCTGAATACTTATGTAAATGTTATATTTATGTTTATTTATTTATTATATATTAGCAAAAATGTCTAAAAACCTTATTTTGCTTTGTCATTATGGGGTATTGTGTGTAGATTGATGGGGGGAAAAAATATTTGTAATCCGTTTTAGAATAAGGCTGTAACGTAACAAAATGTGGAAAAAGGGTCTGAATACTTTCCGAAAGCACTGTAAATGGCCCAACATACAGTGCCTTCAGAAAGTATTCATACCCCTTGACTATCCCGAGGGTTATCCCGAGTGGCACAGTGGTCTAAGGCACTGCATCGCAGTGCTAGCTGTGCCACTAGAGATCCTGGTTTGAATCCAGGCTCTGTCATAGCCGGCCGCGACCTGGAGACCCATGGGGCGGCGCACAATTGGCCCAGCGTCGTCCAGGGTAGGGGAGGGAATGGCCGGCAGGGATGTAGATCAGTTGGTAGAGCATGGCGTTTGCAACGCCAGGGTTGTGGGTTCGATTCCCACGGGGGGCCAGTATGAAAAATAAAAATGTATGCATTCACTAACTGTAAGTCGCTCTGGATAAGAGCGTCTGCTAAATGACAAAAATGTAATGTAAAAATGTTTCCCATTTTGTTGTTTTACAGCTTGAATTCAAAATTGATTACATTTATATTTTTGCACATTTGTTGAAAATGAATTTCTGAAATATTTAATTTACGTAAGAATTCACACCCCTGAGTCAATACTTTGTAGAAGGTCCTTTGGCGGTGATTACAGCTTTGAGTATGTCTTGGGTATGTCTGTACATTTGCACATCTGGATTTTGGGATTTTCTCCCATTCTTCCTTGCAGGTTTTCTCAGGCTCTGTTAAGTTAGGTGGGGAGCGGCAGTGAACAGATTTTCAATGGGATTCAAGTCTGGGCTTTGACTGGGCCACTCAAGGACTTACACATTCTTGTTCTGAAGCCATTCCAGCATTGCTTTGGCTGTATGCTTGAGGTCATTGTCCCGTTGGAATGTAAATCTTCTGCCCAGTCTAAGGTAATTTGCACTCTGAAGCAGGTTCTCATCAAGGATTTGCCTTTATTTGGCTCCACTCATTGTTCCCTCTATCCTTACCAGTCTCAGTCCCTGCTGCTGAAAAGCATCCCCATAACATGATGCTGCCACCACGATGCTTCACGGTAGGGATGGTGTTAGACGGGTGATGAGCTGTATCTCGTTTTCTCCAGACGCTTTGCATTCAGGCCAAAGAGTTCAAATTTTGTCTCATCAGACCACAGAATCTTTTGTCTTATGCTCTGTCTTTAATGTGCATTTTTTGCACATTCCAGGCATGTCGTCATGTGCCTTTTTCTCAGGAGTGGCTTCCGTCTGGCCACTCTCCCATAAAGCCCAGATTGGTGAAGTGCTGCATAGATTGCTGTCCTTCTGGCAGGTTCTCCCATCTCAGCCAAGGAGCTCTGTAGCTCTGTAGGTCCTTCTCTAGGCAGAGTCTGGGTAGTTCCATATTTTTTCCATTTCCCAATGATGGAGACCTCTGTGCTCTTGGAAACTTTCGACACTCTAGAAATTGTTTTATACCCTTCCCCAGATATATGCCTCATCACAATTCGGGGCGGCAGGTAGCTTAGTGGTTAAGAGCGTTGTGTCAGTAACCGAAAGGTCGCTGGTTCTAATCCCCGAGCCGACTAGGTGAAAAATCTGTCGATGTGCCCTTGAGCAATGCACTTAACCCTAATTGCTCCTGTAAGTCGCTCTGGATAAGAGCGTCTGCTAAATGACTAAAAATGTAAAATGTAAATGTAAAATTCTATCTCGGAGATCTACGGAGAACAGTTCCTTGGACTTCATGGTATAGTCTCTGCTCTGACATGCACTGTCAACTGTGGGACCTTATATACACAGGTGTTTTTCTTTCTAAATCATGTCCAAACAATTGAATTGGCCACAGGTGGACTCCAATCAAGTTGTAGTGACATCACAAGGATGATCAAAGGAAATTGGATGCACCTGAGCTCAATTTTGTCATAGCAAAGGGGTGTGAGTACTTATTTCTGTATTTCATTTTCAATAAATGTGCAAACATTTCTAAAGCATGTTTTCACTTTGCCATTATGGGGTATTGTGTGTAGATGGGTGAGAAAATAAATAAATTTAATCCATTTTGAATTCAGGCTGTAACAACAAAATGTGGAATAAGTCAAGGGGTATGAATACTTTCTGAAGGCAGTGTATGTTGATTGATAGATGCTGTGTTTGTATCCTGTCTTCTGTCTTCCCTACAGGACATGAACAGGGAGTATGTGGGCTTTGCCACTCTGCCCAACCAGGTACACAGGAAGTCAGTCAAAAAGGGCTTTGCCTTCACCCTCATGGTAGCAGGTGAGACATCTAAATTACTCAGTTTACTACTGAAATGAATTAAATACAGAGAATAATCTATTCCAATGAACTTTGTTTTATTTAGATGAACATTTCCCAACGTATTTACGCAGAAAGAATGTGGATGATAGAGTGACTGACTTGCCTTCTTTCTCTAGGAGAGTCTGGTCTGGGTAAATCCACTCTGGTCAACAGTCTGTACCTTACAGACCTCTACAACGACAGGAAGGTGCTGAACGCAGAGGGTGAGACAGAAATATTGTCAGTAAAACTAATTTCTCAATGTGTCCATTACTATTAACTACTATTATTACTGAATTGCTATAACAGCAAATCATTCCATAGGATTCAACTTGTGTGTGTGTGTGTGTGTGTGTGTGTGTGTGTGTGTGTGTGTGTGTGTGTGTGTAGAGCGGATCACACAAACAGTGTACATCACCAAACACACCGTGGGTATCGAGGAGAAGGGGGTCAGACTCAGACTCTCCATCGTAGATACACCAGGGTTTGGTGACGCTGTCAACAACACGGAGAGGTACATGGGTTATATAGGCCGTAATCATGATGATCTCATGATGATTTGCTGCCATCATAGTCCCTCACGGAATGACGATTCAGTGGATGTAAAATAAATCCCTCAATCTGCCGTTGGCACCAAGTCAAATTAAACCCAAGGTTGCCTTGTTAAATCTTCTTCATACTCTTAAATTAAATACGTATTAGCTAGGAATGTTGTTTGAAATGTCTAAAACAACATACTTTGGTGATATTGTTATCAACCTGCTGCATACCCCTTAAAAATATACATTTACGTGTGCAGGTTGTGCTAACATTCATTTAGACAGACTGGTAGAATAACTAGCATAGCTAGCCATCGCTAGCATTCACTGGTTGAAGTTGAAGTAACTTTGGAGTGTAATGGAGTTGACTGGTGACTATGACATGAATATACATTACCAGTCAAAAGTTTGGACACACCTACTCATTTAATGGTTTTTATTTATTTGTTATATTTTCTACATTGTAGAATAATAGTGAAGACATCAAAACTATGAAATAACACATATGGAATTATGTAGTAACCAAAAAAGTGTTAAACAAATCAAATAAATATATTTAATATTTGAGAATCTTCAAAGTAGCCACCCTTTGCCTTGATGACAGCTTTGCACACTCTTGGCATTCTCTCAACCAGCTTAATTGAAATGCATTTCTTTTAACAGGTGTGCCTTGTTAAAAGTTAATTTGTGGAATTTCTTTCCTTCTTAATGTGTTTGAGCCAATCAGTTGTGTTGTGACAAGGTATGGGTGGTATACAGAAGATAGCCCTATTTGGTAAAACACCAAGTCCATATTATGGCAAGAACAGCTCAAATAAGCACATGAAGGTCAGTCAATCCAGAGAATTTCAAGAATTTTGAAAGTTTCTGTAAGTGCAGTCTCAAAAACCATCAAGCGCTATGATGAAACTGGCTCTCATGAGGACCGCCACAGGAATGGAAGACAGAGTTACATCTGCTGCAGAGGATAAGTTCATTAGAATAACTGCAGCCCAAATAAATGCTTCACAAAGTTCAAGTAACAGACACATCTCAACATCAACTGTTCAGAGGAGACTGCGTGAATCAGGCCATCATGGTCGAATTGCTGCAAAGAAACCACTACTAAAGGACACCAATAATAAGAAGAGACTTGCTTGGGCCAAGAAACACGAGCAATGGACATTAGACCGGTGGAAATCTGTCCTTTGGTCTGATGAGTCCAAATTTAAGATTTTTGGTTCCAACCGCCGTGTCTTTGTGAAACACAGAGTAGGTGAACGGATGATCTCTGCATGTGTGGTTCCCACCGTGAAGCATGGAGGAGGAGGTGTGATGGTGCTTTGCTGGTGACACTGTCTGTGATTTATTTAGAATTCAAGGCACACTTAACCAGCATGGCAACCACAGCATTCTGCAGCGAAACGCCATCCCATCTGGTTTGCGATTAGTGGGACTATCATTTGTTTTTCAACAGGACAATGACCCAAAACACACTTCCAGGCTGCGTAAGGGCTATTTGACCAATAAGGAGAGTGATGGAGTGCTGCATCAAATGACCTGGCCTCCACAATCACCCGACCTCAACCCAATTGAGATGGTTTGGGATGGTTTGGGCCGTAGAGTTAAGGAAAAGCAGCCAACAAGTGCTCAGCATATGTGGGAACTCCTTCAAGACTGTTGGAAAAGCATTCCAGGTGAAGCTGGTTGAGAGAATGCCAAGCGTGTGCAAAGCTGTCATCAAGGCAAAGGGTGGCTACTTTGAAGAATCTCAAATATAAAATATATTTTGATTTGTTTAAAACTTTTTTGGATACTACATGATTCCATATGTGTTATTTCATAGTTTTGATGTCTTCACTATTATTCTACAATGTAGAAAACAGTAAAAATAAAGAAAAACCATTGAATGAGTAGGTGTGTCCAAACTTTTGACTGGTACTGTATACACACTGTATATCATTCACGACATTTGGACGGGAGCTTTAATAAAATTAAAAATAAAAAATTAAACTATGCGTGTCGTTATTGCTTGAATTCGGGCTTGGCTTGACTACTTTCAATGGAGAAAGATTGCTTCTATACCCCACTTCCGTGATTTTTGTAGAAAACGTCACTTCGCCATGTGGAGCTATAGTGGAGAGTGTACATCTATCATCATGTTGATCCACCATGTTTGTAGTTTCCTCTGAGTGGTGTTGTTTGTGCTCTTTATAGCTGGAAAGAGATAGAGGACTACATTGACCAGCAGTTTGAGCAGTACTTCAGAGACGAGAGCGGCTTAAACAGAAAGAACATCCAGGATAACAGAGTCCACTGCTGCCTCTACTTCATCTCTCCCTTCGGACACGGGTACCAGACTACACACACAATACATCTCTCTCTCTCTCTCTCTCTCTCTCTCTCTCTCTCTCTCTCTCTCTCTCTCTCTCTCTCTCTCTCTCTCTCGACACGTGTACGAGGTAGATACACACAGTTCTTTCACAGTAAACCTGCTTTTCCACGATTATTTTAATCATTTTGTCTGTGTATGTGACTCTCCAGTCTGCGTCCGTTGGATGTGGATTGTATGAGGGCTCTGCATGAGAAGGTGAACATAGTCCCTGTTCTGGCCAAAGCTGACAGCCTCACACCCACTGAGGTCCGCAGAAAGAAAATGAAGGTAAGAGACTGTACCTGTGTTATGGTCATCTTTAATGATCTTTACCAGTGCTAATTTGACCTGTGGTGTTCCTATCTGTGCTACCGAATTTCTGTGCTATATGCAATGCAATGTTGTTTTATACCTGTGCTATATGCTCTAATGTTGGTGTATATACTTGACCTGTTCTATAATGTTGATGTACAGTACCTTCAGAAAGTACTTTGTTGTGTTACAAAATGGGATTACAATTTGATTTGTGTTTTCCCCCCTCCCAATCTACACAAATTACACAAATTATTATAAAGTTTTTAACATTTGTAAAAACAAAAAGAGAAGAAAAAGAAAACATTAATATATATTGATTACAGAAGTATTCAACCCCCTGAGTCAGTACATGTTAGAATCACCTTTGTCAGCGATTACAGCTGTGAGTCTTTCTGGGTAAGTCTCTTAAGAGCTTTCCACACCTGGATTGTGCAACATTTACCCATTTATTATATTCAAAATTCTTCAAGCTCTGTCAAATTGGTTGTATATCATTGCTAGACAACCATTTTCAGGTCTTGCCATAGATTTTCAAGCAGATTTACGTCAAAACTGTAACTCTGCCACTCAGGAACATTCACTGTCTTCTTGGTAAGCAACTCCAGTGTAGATTGGGCCTTGTGTTTTAGGTTATTGTCCTGCTGAAAGGAGAATTCATCTCCCAGTGTCTGGTGGAAAGCAGACTGAACCAGGTTTTTCTCTAGGATTTTGCCTGTGCTTAGCTCCATTCTGTTTCTTTTTTATCCTGAAAAACTACCCAGTCCTTAACGATTACAAGCATACCCATAACATGATGCAGCCACCACTATGCTTTAAAATATGGAGATTGATACCCGGTAATGTGTTGTATTGGATTTGCCCTAAACATAACACTTCGTATTCAAGACAAAAAGTGAATTGCTTTCCCACATTTTTTGCAGTATTACTTTAGTGCCTTGTTGCAAACAGGATTAAATTATTATGTGACTTGCTAAGCACATTTTTACTCCTGAACTTATTTAGGCTTTCCTAACAAAGGGGTTGAATACTTATTGACTGAAAACATTTCAACTTTTCATTCTTTATTCATTTGTAAAAAAATTCACTTTGACATTATGGGGTATCGTGTGTAGGCCAGTAAAAAAAACAACAACGCTATTTAATCAATTTTCAATTCAGGCTGTAACACAACAAAATGTGGAAAAGTCAAGGGGTGTGAATACCGTATGTATGTGTGTGCATGTGTAGATCCGAGAGGAGATCGAGAAGTTTGGTATCAACATCTACCAGTTCCCAGACTGTGATGGTGATGAAGATGAGGAGTTTAAGATGCAGGAGCAACTGCTCAAGGTGACTTCAGACCTGGGGAGAATAGAGGACTATTAGGGGATCTGTATGTTTTGTATATAGCATATAGCGCTGACCACATGGCTTAACCATGAGTCTCTGTCTCTCGCTCTCTAGGACAGTATTCCTTTTGCTGTAATTGGCAGTAACGTCCAGGTTGAGAGTAAAGGACGCAAGTTCAGGGGTCGGCTCTACCCCTGGGGTGTAGTGGAAGGTACGCTGCACACGCACACCTTCACGTTTACACTACAGATCTCACACACACAACTGGACTTTGCACGGCGAACAGCAGAGTCGGGCCTCACTGAGCATGCCTGTAAAAAATACACTTGATTTATATTTGAGCCAGCATCCGCATAGTTTACCGTGAATGCAATCTCCACGAACGTCAGGGAAATTACCTGTCGACAGTGTACCTTTTGATTGAATCCTATGAATTCTATGAAAACAAACACAGACCTAATATCAGTGTTGTGTTGTCAGTGGAGGACCCGGCCCACAGTGATTTTCTGCTGCTGAGGAACATGTTGGTGAGGACTCACATGCAGGACCTGAAGGATGTCACCAGAGAGACACACTACGAGAACTACAGAGCACAGTGTATACAGAACATGACACGCATGGTGGTGCAGGAGAGGAAACGCAGGTTGGTTCTACACACACGCACACAGAATAGACATACACAGAATTACACCATACACACTAAAGTTGTACTGATGTACAACACATTTGCACAACGGTTGTGCTACGAATGAGTTTTTCTGCACAAAAATAATTACCCGATTACACAATTGAATTGACCTTTGTGTTTTGTTCTGTGTGTTAGCCTGCATGATAAGATTCGGAGTGATAGCAGTGTTGACTTCCCCATGACCCCACTCCCACTGGCCCCTGTAGACAGTGAGACAGAGAGGCTCATCTGGCAGAAGGACGAGGAGGTAAGAACACACACGCGCACTCCTAGACCGACACCACACACACCCGTATGTATTGCACTGCACTGCGTTGAAGTTGGAGGTCTTCTTCCAGTCTACATTTGGAATGTTCTTCTTCAGCGTCTCAAAAACCTAGACCGACACGCGCACAAACAAATACCAACATAAACACACTCTCACTCTCCCTTTCCTCACCTCTCTCTCACCTTTGTGTCTAGTTGAGGAGGATGCAGGAGGTGTTGGAGAGGATCCAGGAGCAGATGCAACACAGACAGAAACCAGACTACTGATTTACCCACAATCCTCCTGGGCCTCTCTGAGGTCCATTCCAGAGACACCTGGAAAAGGGGAGGAGGAAGAAGGGAGGAGAAGAAAATGTGCATCAGAGGAAGAAATGTGACACCCTCAATCAAACCAGCACCATTCACCTCATTGGTGTATCAGCCTGCGGGGTCTCCATGGAGATGAGCTCAGACAGGAATCCTCTGCATCTGACTGTTCTGAACCCATGTCATTTCTGATCCCCCAAGCTGTTTTATGAGAAATAAGGAGGTCCTGTAAACTTTGTTACTGATGCTGCTGCCTAGTCTTGATTCCCTACAGACCTGAGGTGTCAATTCAGGAAGTAAACTTAGACCACTGAAGTGTCAGAAAGAAAGAAGCAGCACCAACAGTGTAGTAAATGTAATATGATTTATTAAGAATCTTCATTATTATTTGTTTTCATTCATTTCATAATAATTTCTCATAATTAATAGTTTGTAGTACTGTTATCTTAAACATAGTGGACCGTTAGATCTAAAAGGCAGCCCAAAATGTACAGGCGATATATAACTTAAACTTTCTCCATAGGGAAAACATCTGTGTTTTATATTTATATATAATAACATTGTAGCATGAGGTCCAAGATTCCCGCCCACATCATACAATATTGTACATGGTCCCAGAAAGAAAGAAACATACAAAAAAACTACATTGGAACGGAACCTAAATCGCAATCTACATGCAAAACCAGGCAAGGATAAAAAAACATGCATACAAAAATACATCCATACGTACCTACACACACATTAGAAAAGTCAAACTGAACATCAGAGTGTTCTAAAGAGAAAATATTTAGTAACTTGTTCCCCCACGCCTCAGTCTCTCTACTACCACACACACACTTGAACACAAAAGGGACATCACACACACTGCTTTTCTGCTTGCTCTCAGATCATCTCCATGTGTGTGTGTACATCAAGGTTGTCACAGTGCTATGGCTGAAAGTGAATGTTATGACTGATTACAGGAGCGCGCTGCATGCACACAAGCATAGGTCAAAATGCTACAACAAAAATAGAACCATGCACCAGGAACAGTATGTTTAACCACCATAGTGTAGAATAGAAAACATACTGAATATAGTCATACGCGCACACACACACACACACACACACAAAACAACCAGTAGGACCATATGAGATTGCTTACATACATATCTGATGGTGACTTGAACATAGTCAGACATGCATAGGCTGGCAAAGGGGCATATAATGCACTCTATTTCTCTTGCTCAAATACACACACAGCAGGTATGCTATGCGTCCAGCCCCCAGAGTTGATCTCTTGTTCTAACACCAGGATAAGGTTTTCAGTGGCTATGATGGGAGAGGGGCAGCAGGGGGGGCTATTGAGCAGGAGACCAGAGAACCCCTTTCCCTTTCTCTCTCTGTCCTTCTCCATGACTCTGCGATGTTGTGGTACTGTTTTATGAATGAATGAATGAGTAGGACCCCTGATGCCTGAGTTAATATTCATCTTCTGTTAGTGCGTCTGAGGAGATGAGAAGAGAGAGGGAAAGAGAGAGACTGGCAGCGGGTAGGCTGAGCCTAGACCTGTGTCTACAGATATCTGCTACCCAGAGCAGGCTCTGGCTGTAGCAGGAGTCACTGTCCTCTAGAACAATTAATGTTTAAGTTCATCTGAGTCCAGAATGAGGAAGTCCATGGTTCCGTCCCAAATGGCATCCTATTTAGTGCATAACTTTTCACCAGGGCCCATAGTAGTGCACTATATATGGAATAGGGTGCAATTTGGGTGCTACCCATAAGTCTGTGAGTTAATGTGTGGGAGGAATGTTCTAGGGAGGTCACAAATCCTGTAGAGTCAGAATCCACCTGGTGATGTAGTCCTTGACACCTGGGATCAATGCTCCAATGAGCACCAATGCTGGGCACCAATGCCTTAGCTCTCTCTTTCTGTCACTGCCCATGTCTCTGTCAGGTTGTGATTGGGTCCAGGGTTGCGTTCAGTACGACAGAACGGTGTGCAATGTTAAATTCAACGGAAACTGTACTGCACAACCAGTTGATAAACTTTTTAATTATGGAGGCCCAGAGGGCGATTACCATATGGTGTGCTGCATGAGTTTTGCAATTTCAAATGGTCACACCCATATTGATCAGGCCACACTCACCAAACAGCAGCAGTGTGTTGCAGAACGGTACAAACCGTCACACTACGTAGCAAACGGTGAAGCGAACTGAACGCACTCCTGATGCTGTACTGACTCTCTCGCTCTTTCTCGCTACCTCCCGCTCTCTCGCACCCTCCCTCTCTTGCACCGACTCGCTCTCTCGCACCCTCCCCACCCTGTCTCTTCCATCCCTCCCTCCCCCTCTCTCAGGCCAGTTTGAGTGTGCTAACAGGGAAGGGTGGTACGGTCACCATGGTGACTGGGTTGAGGACGGTGGTTTGTCCCACCAGCTGTGGGTGGTGGTGATGGTGGTGGGCCAGCATGGTTGTGGGCTTCCCCAGGGACGAGCCACCCTGGCCAGGCACTGCCGCCCCATTGACCTGGGGCACGTTAGCGGTAGCATGGCTAGCCTGGACGTGGTGGAGGTTGCCCTGGGAGTGGGGAAGGGTGTGGTGGGTGAAGGTGTGGGTAATGTGCCCCAACACCGTGGGCTGGGAGACCGTCAATCCCTGGGGGTACATGTGGGGGGGCAGGGGACCTCCCAGGTGGGCCACAGGGTGGACGGTGATGTGTCCAATGGGCTGGGCCGTGATTGTCTGGTGGGCAGCGGCGGCGGCTGCTGTGATTGGCTGCGGGATAGAGGAGACAGGACCGGGGGAGGGAGCGATGTGCGTGAGGTGTTTGTGATTGGCCGGGAGGATGTGATTGACAGCCTGGATGACGGAGGGGTGGGAGACGGCGGCGTGGGCGATGACTTTGGGGGAGACTTGGATGGTCGGATGGGGGTGAGGAGGGGGGGCAGGGGCGATGGCCTGGGGGGGAGGGGGGCCCGAGGGGCTGGTCAGAATCCCAGAGGACAGGGTCTTGTGTGTGATGGACAGGTGAGGAGTGAGGAGTGATTGGGCCTGTAGGATGGGGGGAGGGGGTTTGGGGAGGGAGAAGGGTGGAGGAGGAGGGGAGAGGTCTTCATCAATGTCCTGGTCAAAGTTGTCTTCCCCTTCTGAAAGAGAGAGAGAGAGGGAGAGCGATTACTCATACAGTACATGTCACTATAAGAACACATCACACATATTGACAGGTATGTATACGGCAGGGTTTCCGGCAGGAAAATTTGCCGCCGGACAACGTGACCGGGAAGATTTTAATTTACCGTCCATTTGAGGAATTTACCGGACCCATATGCATTGGGTACGTAACCCATTAGGGCATCCACCCACGATACTCAGAATGACAGAAATCACATATAGATGATGGTCATTCATTTCAGAAGAACATGCAACTCCTGTAATGAAGCTGCCAATAAAACACAATTTTCAAACATTTGCCAAAATGCAATTTGCGGGAAAACTCCATTCTAAACAGCGCAACTGATAAGAGTGGTTTCATAAGTGACAGAGATGAAAATCTCCATTAGAAACTTAGATGGGTTGCTAATATGTCTAGGATAATGCCTTTGGCTTCTGGACAATGGAAGAAAGTTGATATGAAAACCAATAGAACAGGAGAGAAATGGCATATGAGGAGGGTTTTTTTATAGGCGGCGTGTCAAATAGGCTAAGGAAGTAGACAAAATGTAAAATACATTTGGCAAAATTATAGAATTACGCCTGTCTATACATAAATAAAAATCATTCAAAATACTTCACCAGAAAGCATGACTTGGCCACAGAGGAATCGAGGATCATTAGCTTTTTATTTATTGATATAGAGCCGTGGATTGTTTCAAATCACAAGCTTGTAGACATATGCCTATTTAGGAAGCCCGTAATTTGGGCAGAGCGCGTGGCAGTAGGCCTGGCTGATTATTGAGTTGCGGCGGTCAGTGAAAAGCTTCTAAAATATGTATGAAGATAATGTGCCTTGAGTATAATTAAAAATGTTGAGACAAAAAGAAGGGGAGAGGTGTGGTGAAGACATAGGTGAGTCTTTCCAGAATGGCTCAGCTGTCTCCCGCCAATTCTTGCACATTCATTGTTTCATTGTGTAAATCGTTTGCCCTTTGATTGTTTCTTTGTTTGATCAATTCCCCATTACATATGTCACCAGTAGTAAACATACGTAATGGGGAATTGATCAAAAAGAGAAGCTCTAGTCAAGACAGATAAAGGGAGGCAGACGGGCTGAGTAGAGAGATGAATGCAATTGAAAGAACCTGAATTTATCAGATTTTTGTATTTTGACTTAGTTGACAATGGAAGTTATAGACCTACTGCTGTATTGGCCTATAGGCTATGAGTTCCACACGCTCATTTCTTTAACCGCCAATGGATCACAGTGTATCAATATGTCCATATAGCAGAGGCTGGTGCTCTCGCATTAGTTTAATTAGTACTTTTAGATTTTTATCATTTTAATTCAGATTTTTATGATTAACCAAGTGACAATAATTTTGAGTAACAAAAACATTTATTAAAATGAAACTGTTCCACGAAAATGTGCATATGAAAATCATGACTGGCACACAGATCGGTAGAAATGGTAGGATAAATTGTAAGCTTCCCCAAACTTAGAACTCACGAAGTCTATAAAAGAACTGCCTCCACGTTTCAATGGTCAGATTTGCCTATAGGCTACTATGAAGCAAGGTAAGACATGCCTCATAATATGAAGTAAAACATTCAGGTTTCAAACAATGAAGTAGGCCTATGTTTTCAAAATGCATACTGCCTCCAGCTCACATTGTAAAGTGGAGGTGACGTGCTGATAGCCTGTTGCCTGAATGGAGAATGGGAGGCATTCTTCAATTAAACTACCAGTTGAGAAATAAAAATAGTAGGCCTAGCTCTTTTTAATCGTGCACCAAAACTTTTTAACACAAGATTGCATTTAGAATTGTTGCGCAATGAATGGGCTTCTAAAAGCACAAGTTTTACTTCAGCATCAACCTGCTGAGGAGCTGCAGGAGAAACATCCCACAAATAGGCTCTGTATGCTGTGCACGTGACAGTTGTGTCGGATAAATAAGATGACGGCTACATGATGACTAATGAAAATACACACACAGCAATTTAATTCCACTATATTATGCTAATTAACCTATAGACCAGCGTTTCCCAAACTCGGTCCTAGGGACCCCAAGTAGTGCCCGTTTTTGGTTTTTGCCCTAGCACTACACAGCTGATTAAAAATAATCAAAACTTGTTGATTATTTGAATCAGCTGTGTAGTGCTAGGACACACTTTGGGGTCCCCAGGACTAGGTTTGGGAAACGCTGCTATAGACCGATAAGCATGACGGCCAAATGTATTTCTAACAGAAACCCCGGTAAACACACAGCATGCGTTCTTCTGCAAATGTTTGTGTGCTCATCTCTCTGTAACTGTGTGTGTGTACCTGAGGCAGTAGAAGTCGAAGCCTGGTCGTCCTCTGGTTGTGCAGTCTGTCTGAGGACCTTGTCAATCTCCATAACGTCCATACACTGACTCAGCTCGTTCTTCAGCTCAGCCAGTCTCTGCTGCGTGGAGATCTTCTCTCTCGCTAGACGCTCCATCTCGTGTTCGTACTCCTTCTCCTTACGCTTCAGAGTCTGGGAGACGACACACACACACCAGCAGATGTAGTACCAACACGCTAGTTACACATGAACATACATTCAACTCATTCGCAGAGTCTGAGAAAGGGACATGAACACACTCCTTGCTCATAACACACATATCACTTAAACCAATAACAGCTGCCCAAAACTGACCCAACCACGTGTAGGTGTACTCCAGACCACATGGAGAGTAGAAGAGTCAAACTCATGAGAGAGAGGGAGCGAGGGAAAGAAGTGATGGGAGGAAAAGAAAGCGAGGGAGAGAGCGGTGTGCAGTAGTCATGCGGACAAATGGTCCTCTGACCCAGTTACTGAGTGGTCTGGGCAGCTGACTGAGAGAGGGGCTCCTAAACACAGAGGCACACTAAAAACATTACAAGAGAAAGGGGGAGTGAGAGAGGGAGGGAGGGGGAGTGAGAGAGGGAGGGAGGGGGAGTGAGAGAGGGAGGGAGGGAGAGGAAGAGAGAGCACAGGGTAGAAAGAAAGAGTTAGAAAAGTTTAAAAAGAGAACAGAAGATCACAAGGCTGGTGGCGATAATAGAGATGGAATAGAGGTTAAGACAGAAGACAGAAAACAAAAGAAAAAGAGGGAGAAATGGAGAGAGCGAGAGGAGGGACATCACATGATCCTACTACAGGGCACTGAGTTCAGCGAGCAAAGCTGTTTACTCTCAGCAGGCACGTGATGCGAGGCCACAAGCGAGGCCAGTTTCTCTCCCCACCCCTCCAAACACACTACACTCACTGCCACTGCTAGCCAGGAACACTCCATTCCGGCTCAACACACAAAGGACTCCCATTCCACTCTGCAGAAGTGTTACTGGAGCTTTGTAAGAGAGATGTGTGTGTGTAGTCCAGTGATCAGGATTAGCCTATAAGTTTGTACCGTCTGTGTGAAGGTTTGTTGTAAACCCCTTACAGACCACTTACAAACACACACCTTCCTGATGATGACACATGGTGCAGGAGAGGAAAACGCAGGTTGGTGTGTGTGTGTTCATTAGGTCTCCTTGCATCTCTAACACCATTGCAACAGCTGCTACACATAGCCGTTTCCTTGGTAACAACATCCACAAGGGTTTCTGCGGTTGAGCAGGGGAGTGACAGTATATAAGGAGGGATCTAATTGGAAGATAAAGGTGTCATTTCATCTAAGGAGTCATGTAATTGGCTGTTTTCCAGCTTACTGCTCTAGCTGACATCTCCCCTCTCTTCATTCATCTCCCCTTCAATCCCCCTCTCCTTTCCTCCATCTCTCCTTCCATCCCCCACTTCCATATACACTATAAGGCCAAACGTATATGGACTGCTCGTCAAACATCTTATTCCAAAATTATGGGCATTAATATGGAGTTCAAATAAAATTTTATTTGTCACATGCGCAGGTGTAGACCTTACAGTGAAATGCGTACTTACAAGCCCTTAACCAACAATGCAGTTTTAAGAAAGAAAAAATATTAAAGAGCAGCAATAAAATAACAGTAGTGAGGCTATATACAGGGGGTACCGGTACAGAGTCAATTTGCGGGGGCACAGGTTAACTGAGGTAATATGTACAGTGGGGAAAAAAAGTATTTAGTCAGCCACCAATTGTGCAAGTTCTCCCACTTAAAAAGATGAGAGAGGCCTGTAATTTTCATCATAGGTACACAATAACTATGACAGACAAAATGAGGGAAAAAAATCCAGAAAATCACATTGTAGGATTTTTAATGAATTTATTTGCAAATTATGGTGGAAAATAAGTATTTGGTCAATAACAAAAGTTTCTCAATACTTTGTTATATACCCTTTGTTGGCAATGACACAGGTCAAACGTTTTCTGTAAGTCTTCACAAGGTTTTCACACACTGTTGCTGGTATTTTGGCCCATTCCTCCATGCAGATCTCCTCTAGAGCAGTGATGTTTTGGGGCTGTCGCTGGGCAACACGGACTTTCAACTCCCTCCAAAGATTTTCTATGGGGTTGAGATCTGGAGACTGGCTAGGCCACTCCAGGACCTTGAAATGCTTCTTACGAAGCCACTCCTTCGTTGCCCGGGCGTTTGGGATCATTGTCATGCTGAAAGACCCAGCCACGTTTCATCTTCAATGCCCTTGCTGATGGAAGGAGGTTTTCACTCAAAATCTCACGATACATGGCCCCATTCATTCTTTCCTTTACACGGATCAGTCGTCCTGGTCCCTTTGCAGAAAAACAGCCCCAAAGCATGATGTTTCCACCCCCATGCTTCACAGTAGGTATGGTGTTCTTTGGATGCAACTCAGCATTCTTTGTCCTCCAAACACGACAAGTTGAGTTTTTACCAAAAAGTTATATTTTGGTTTCATCTGACCATATGACATTCTCCCAATCCTCTTCTGGATCATCCAAATGCACTCTAGCAAACTTCAGATGGGCCTGGACATGTACTGGCTTAAGCAGGGGGACACGTCTGGCACTGCAGGATTTGAGTCCCTGGCGGCGTAGTGTGTTACTGATGGTAGGCTTTGTTACTTTGGTCCCAGCTCTCTGCAGGTCATTCACTAGGTCCCCCCGTGTGGTTCTGGGATTTTTGCTCACCGTTCTTGTGATCATTTTGACCCCACGGGGTGAGATCTTGCGTGGAGCCCCAGATCGATGGAGATTATCAGTGGTCTTGTATGTCTTCCATTTCCTAATAATTGCTCCCACAGTTGATTTCTTCAAACCAAGCTGCTTACCTATTGCAGATTCAGTCTTCCCAGCCTGGTGCAGGTCTACAATTTTGTTTCTGGTGTCCTTTGACAGCTCTTTGGTCTTGGCCATAGAGTGTGACTGTTTGAGGTTGTGGACAGGTGTCTTTTTATACTGATAACAAGTTCAAACAGGTGCCATTCATACAGGTAACGAGTGGAGGACAGAGGAGCCTCTTAAAGAAGAAGTTACAGGTCTGTGAGAGCCAGAAATCTTGCTTGTTTGTAGGTGACCAAATACTTATTTTCCACCATAATTTGCAAATAAATTCATAAAAAATATTTTTTTATCAATTTGTCTGTCATAGTTGACGTGTACCTATGATGAAAATTACAGGCCTCTCTCATCTTTTTAATTGGGAGAACTTGCACAATTGGTGGCTGACTAAATACTGTTTTTCCCCACTGTACATGTAGGTAGAGGTAAAGTGACTATGCATAGATAATAAACAGAGAGTAACAGCAGCGTAAAAAGAGGTGGGGCAATGCAAATAGTCTGGGTAGCCATTTGATTAGATGTTCAGGAGTCTTATGGCTTGAGGTAGAAGCTGTTAAGAAGCCTCTTGGACCTAGACTTGGCGCTCCGGTACCGCTTGCCGTGTGGTAGCAGAGAGAACAGTCTATGACTAGGATGGCTGGAGTATTTGACAATTTTTAGGGCCTTCCTCTGACACTGCCTGGTAAAGAGGTCCTGGATGGCAGGAAGCTTGGCCCCAGTGATGTACTGGGCCATACGCACTACCCTCTGTAGTGCCTTGCGGTCGGAGGCCGAGCAGTTGCCATACCAGGAAGTGATGCAACCAGTCAGAATGTTCTCGATGGTGCAGCTGTAGAACATTTTGAGGATCTGAGGACCCATGCCAAATCTTTTCAGTCTCCTGAGGGGGAATAGATTTTGTCGTGCCCTCTTCACGACTGTCTTGGTGTGCTTGGACCATGATAGTTTGTTGGTGATGTTGACACCAAGGAACTTGAAGCTCTCAACCCGCTCCACTACAGCCCCGTCGATGAGAATGGGGGCGTGCTCGGTCCTCTTCTTTTTCCTGTAGTCCACAATCATCTCCTTTGCCTTGATCACGTTGAGGGAGAGGTTGTTGTCCTGGCACCACACTGCCAGATCTCTGACCTCCTCCCTATAGGCTGTCTCATCATTGTCTGTGATCAGGCCTACCACTGTTGTGTCATCAAACTTAATGATGGTGTTGGAGTCGTGCCTGACCATGCAGTCATGAGTGAATAGGGAGTACAGGAGGGGACTGAGCACGCACCCCTGAGGGGCGTGCTCAGGTGGGGGACCAACTCAATGGAGTTAAGATTTTTATGCGCTACGCGCTTCAGCACTCGTCGGTTCTGTTCTGTGAGCTTGTTTGGCCTACCACTTTGCGGCTGAGCCGTTGTTGCTCCTAGACGTTTCCACATCACAATAACAACACTTACAGTTGACCGGGGCAGCTCTAGCAGGGCAGAAATTTGACGAACTGACTTGTTGAAAAGGTGGCATCATATCAAGGTGCCACGTTGAAAGTCACAGCTCTTCAGCATGGCCATTCTACTGCCAATGTTTGTCTATGGAGATCGCATGGCCGTGTGCTCAATTTCAAATCCTGCAGACTTAACACACAATCCCCACAAACACATCCTGAACAAACACACCCGTGAACACACACACACACAGACACACACAAACACACACACTGAGTAAAGAACAGGACCTCCCGCAGTGTTCTGACCACCTGCCGCCTGTCTCTATGGTTACCAAGTGTTCTAAAGGGCAGAAACCGAGAGGGGGGAGGAGAGAAAGAGAGGAAAAGGGGGAGAGAGAGAGAGGAATGTATAAAGGGAAAGATAGACGCAGAAAGAGAAAGCATGAGAGAAAGAAAGAGAGAGATGACAGTGAGAGAAAGAAAGAGAGAGATGACAGTGCGAGAAAGAAAGAGAGAGATGTAGACAGAAAGAGAGAGGGGGAGGTGGAGACAGCGTCACTCCTCTGCATCCCCCCTTTCATCTCCGTGGAGACGGCGCTCCTCTCAGACAATCCACTGAGCATGTGCAAGAGCAGAGCAGCAGCAGAACAGAGCGTGCTCAGTGTGTCTCTCTCACTCTGCCGGGAGGGGGAGGGGAGGGGAGGAACGGTTGACGTCACTGAGCTCGCGTTAGCCATGTGCTCTCAACTCACGTGGCCAAGGATCCAGGGAGGGAGGGAATGAGAGAAAAAGGAAATGGTAGCGTAATTAGTGTACTACTCTGTCGCTATGTTCTCTGTGAATTTTGGCGGTTCCATTTTGGCAGCGTTTCATATTTTTCAGTCATACTAATAAAGAAAAAAACATTTATTTGAATTGGGAGCTAGAATGAGAACAAGCAAAGCAAGATAAAAGGCAGAGGGAAAGAGAAAAGGAGAATGCACCAACCTGACATCACACACACAAGCCATCACACACACCCGTGTAGCCTACCTGTATGTATCGCAGGGCGCTGCGTAGAACACTGAGGTTGGAGGTCTTCTTCTCATCTACGTTTGGAACGTTCTTCTTCAGCGTATCGAAACAATCCTTCAGGTGAGCTCTTCTGTTCTTCTCCAGTTTGTTGTGCACCTCTCTGGTTCCAGCTCTGCAAAACACAGATAACAACATCTGTATAAAAACGGACTTCCACACCAACTGTCTAGGAGTGCATTATGCGTTACACACACTGTGCGTGTTTGACTACATTTCCTCATGTTTGACTACCCTGTTTGTGTTCGACTACATGTCCTCATGTTTGACTACACTCTGCCCTGTTGACTGGCTGATCTACAAATCACCTTGCATCCTAAATAACTACTCATTATTACTTGTGGATCATTCAGTTTCCTTAGTCGTTGATCAGTGAAAATGTATGCAAAATGTATGACCTCAAAAACGAGGACTTTCTCTCACCCTCCAGGTCGTCTCTTCCCGTCCAACCCTCTCAGGTCGTCCATGATGGTTCCGTTTGGGCGTGGCTGCGTGGGCATGGCTTGCTGCGGAAGGAGTGCATGTTGGGAAGCGGCGGCGGTGGTGATGATGGAGGTCGGGTACGGAATCTGAATTGGAGGTTGGGATTGGCTAGGGCTTCCGCCCATCTGTGGCGTCATCAAGTTAGGCTCCGCCTTCACCTGGGCTGCCATCTGGTGCTGGATTGGCTGCTGCTGAGTAGGGGAGGAGCCTCCCTTCATCACCTGGGAGCCTCCGAGGTGGAGCGAGGTTGCCGCGGCAGTGATCGTCGTGATGACGGGAAGGGGCGGTACAGAGGGCGTAGCTGTGACAACGGGTACCATGGGGATGACAGCGATGGAGATGGGGGGAGGAGGGAGGGAGAGGGAAGGAGGGTGAGAGGAGGGAGAGAGGTGCTGGTGCTGACAATGCTGTGATGACTCAGGCCAATGCTGTGATGACCCCCAGGTGACATGGTTGAATCTGACTGGCTGGTCCGAACAGGTCACAACCTCTGCTCGTCTGGACTCCGCCTCCTCTCTGCGGCGCTCCTCCTCTGTGGGAGAGGGGAGGAAGATAATGGGGATGATGGTTAGAAATGTAGGGACTTGAAGGCTTCATCTCGTATAGTAGTAGAATTCATGTTTCACAGACAGAACTGTCTTAGGTGAAGTGGTGAACACACACCCACTCCCCCCCTCCACACACACACACACACACACACAATGATGTCATCCTAGAGGCAGACAGACCGATGGGACGTGAGGACAGGGTCTGTCGCTGAAAGCCTGCATCTGCTCTCTGATGGGCTAGAGCGTGTGCGCTGTAATTGGACCGTTTGGTCGTCAAGGAGGGGCGGGAGTTCACAGCGATTGCCAATAGTGTCCAGAGAGCCCTTGGTCCAGGCCTGTGATAGGCTGGTGGGTTGAAGGGGGCGGGGCCTAGTCTACTCAGCTGTGTCATTGGAGCCGGCAACATATGGCAATGCAGACCAAACTCTGTATAGCTGACACACATGCACGCGTACACACACAGGTCGACACATATGCACAAAAACAAACAAACACACACACACTAGACAAAAGGGGTTTGTCTCTAAATGTAACACCAGTTACCATAGATCCATAGCAACATTAGACGCACACGACACGAGGGATCCCACAGGCAAGAAGATGAACTAAAGTTGACACACGGAGTTCCCTCATGCTTAAATGTACTACATATCAAATATACACTGTGCACACAGTACACTCACATTACTAAACCAACATTGCTAGAAGTTTGACAGACACGCACACACATTGAAAAAAGGCGCAGGTTTAAGTTTGTTCCACCTGAGCGAGTCTGACCACAAGTCAGACACCACTATGATGACACACCAAATGTGTTTGATGAATCACACGGGAAAGGATCAGGAATAGGCTTTTGTAGGCTACAGTCCAAGTTATGTCTTCCAATGGTGCGACTGCTGCCGGCATCCAAAGATTATACAGCACATCCAATTTGAATATTAACTTGGAGGTAAGGACGACAGCAGGGGTGTGGCCTACGGGCGATACGGATATCACTTATTATTGATATATCTACATGGCGCAATGATGTGAATCACACTGCTGCTCTCTCATTTAGCTATTTGCGCCTTACGGATTGTAGTTGTTGTGGAAGGCTGTTCACAAATGTAGGCTTATATGTGTATTTTAACCGAATAATGGTTGAATTGAAGACGTTTAAGCTGCCTTTCAATCATTGTTTTTGCAACCAGTGGCCAGCCAGTGAAAAATTCGCTCTTGCAACAGCTGCATAGTGAGTATCCAGCATGTGGAATAAAAGTTTGAGGGTGTTCCTCCCTTCTAAACTCCTCTGTGGTATTGTGTTTTACATGCTGGCAAAAATGAGTTTATTTTAAGAAGACCATGAGTGGGGCTTTTATTGCTCGATCTAATTTGTGCTGAGAAATCATTTTTTTCATGGGCCTGACGGACACATGATCAAGATATCAAAGTGTCACCAACAAAAACCGTAAGCAATAGGCCTATAGCAAATGCAGCATATGGCATTCATTTTCACATGCAAATAGCACTTTTCGTTAGTGAACAAAGCATGCTATTCCATGAGAGCAGCGTTTATCTTTCAACTCGAAGCAATGAGCCCAATCAGTTCTCCATGACAACAAAATAATATAAACAACAGAGTAGGCTAATAAGTCCTTTGTTTTTGAGTTATGCTCAGGTAAAACAATTTGGCTAATCTATATTTCCAAGTCCTATTCTTGAAGATCAAGTGGTATAAAATTAATTGGAATGACTGGAAATCTGACAGACTTTGGTTTTTAATGTAAAATATAGCATAATCAAATTATTAAGTAGGAAGCAATGGGTTAGAAGACGCCTACATAACCCATACATTTAAATGCAACATAAATGTATGGCCAGCTATGTAAACTCTAACATTGATTTATCCTAATATATATGTCGTTTTTATGGGGGATATATGGAAATTGTATGTCGTTCAATTGGTAATATTCATTTTGGTCTTCTTCTAATGGCCCTTAAGGGGAAAGTAATCTAAAAGTAACTGAAAGTAATTTGATTACGCTACTAAATTTGGGTAATCCAAAATTGTTACTGATTACAATTTTGAACAAGTAACTAACGGATTACATTTAGAAAGTAACGGATAACTAAACCAGAAAACAGGGAAGGAGGGAGAGAGAGGGACGGGGGCTACCACTGTATTGCAATGGGGGTAAGCACACACACACAGTTTTCCAGAATCCCTGACCTTTCTCTTCCGCTCTGAAAAGGTTCTCACACATACATACATTATATATACAAAAGTTTGTGGACACCTTTTCAGATTACTGGATTCGGCTATTTCAGCCACACCCGTTGCTGACAGGTGTATAAAATCGAGCACACAGCCATGCAATCTCCATAGACAAACATTGGGAGTAGAATGGCCTTACTGAAGAGCTCAGTGACTTTCAACGTGGCACCGTCACTACCGAGTTCCAAACTGCCTCTGGAAGCAACGTCAGCACATTAACTGTTTGTCGGGAGCTTCATGAAATGGGTTTCCATGGCTGAGCAGCTGCACATAAACCTAATATCACAATGCGCAATGTCAAATGTCGGCTAGAGTGGTGTAAAGCTCGCCGCCATTGGACTCTGGAGCAGTGGAAACACATTCTCTGGAGTGATGAATCACGCTTCACCATTGGTAGTTACGATCTTGTCTCATCGCTGCAACTCCCCAACGGGCTCGGAATAGGCGAAGGTCGAGTCATGCGTCCTCCGAAACAACATGATCCGCCAAGCCGCGCTGCTTCTTTAAACACTGCTCGGCTAACCCGGAAGCCAGCCGCACAAATGTATCGGAGGAAACACCGTTCAACTGATGACCGAAGTCAGCTTGCAGGCGCCCGGCCTGCCACATGAAGTTGCTAGAGCACGATGAGTCAAGGAGATCCCCCCAGGCCAAACCCTCCCCTAACCTGGATGACGCTGGGCCAATTGTGCGCCGCCCTTTGTTTTTCATGGTTCCGGCTAGGCCCCTTAATTCCAGTGAAGGGAAATCTTAACGCTACTGCATACAATGACATTCTAGACAATTCTGTGCTTACAACTTTGTGGCAACAGTTTGGGGAAGGCCCTTTCCTGTTTCAGCATGACAATACCCCTGTGCACAAAACGAGGTCCATACAGATATTATTTGTGGAGATCGGTGTGGAAGAACTTGACTGGCCTGCACAGAGTCCTGACCTCAACCCCATCGAACACCTTTGGGATGAATTGGAACCCCGACTGCGAGCCAGGCTTAATCTGTAGCTCAGCTGGTAGAGCACGGCGCTTGTAACGCCAACGTAGTGGGTTCGATCACCGGGACCACCCATACACAAAAATGTATGCACGCATGACTGTAAGTCGCTTTGGATAAAAGCGTCTGCTAAATGGCATATTATTATTATTATTATTATTATTATATTAATCGGCCAACATCAGTGCCCGACCTCACTAATGCTCTTGTGGCTTAATGGAAGCAAGTCCCTGCAGCAATGTTCCAACATCTAGTGGAGAACCTTCTCAGAAGAGTGGAGGCTGTTATAGCAGCAAAGGAGGACCAACTCCCATTAATGTCCATGATTTTGGAATGAGAAGTTGGATTGGCAGGTGTCCACATACTTTTGATCATGTTTCTGATCAGCCCTGCTCCAGATTTAAAAACATGCAAATGTTAATTACATAACTCTTGCATTGTGAGGGGGAGAAAGGGAGGAGATAGATGAGGAGGTGGGAGAAAAGAGAGAAGGGGGGGTTGCCCTACTTTCCCCACACTGTGACCCGTGCACCAGTCATTCTGGCGTGCACGTGGTCGTCGGGGGCAGGTCCTCTTAGGCACACGGTATGTATGTGCCACTAGGGGGTGTGGATGAACTGACACGTCACCAGATGAGTGAAACAAAAAGCCCTCTTCCTAATATGTGGCGATAATCACCAACCGTCTATGAAATATCCTGTGAATAACTGTGATTCAGTTCACAACCCAGTCAAACGGACACCCATGCTGTGTTTAACGTTTCACACACGCAGCTCTGTCGTAGGGTGGGAGTTACTTTCGTGGACAGGCAGTAGGGTTGTGTGTGTGTCCCGCCCCGGAGTGTCATAAGATAGCGGAGCAATGTCAGAGCATTATGTAAAAGAGGGAGCCTGCCTGCAGGAGCCTCTCTGGTTGTTCTGCTGCCTGCCACCGCCCTATGCAACCTGGTATCAGATAATTTCGTATTATTCTGTACGTAAGTCCGAGACACTCCATTTAGTATGATGTGTTGTTTCGTATGGTATGTATTAACTTGTGGATGTCCAGCACCCATTTCGTACGATATGTTACAAATTACAAATCGTATTATATGTTACGAATTTGAAAAACGTATGATATGTTACGATTTCTAGTTAGGTGCCTTGCTAACGTTAGCTAGGCAAGGGGTTAAGTTTATGAGTTAACTAACACGCTAAGTAGTTGCAAAGTAGCTAAAAAGTAGTAAGTAGTTGAAAGTTGCTAATTAGCTAAAATGATTAAGTTGTCCGTAATGAAATTTGAACTCGCACTTTTGGGTTGCTAGACGTTAGCATTATACACCCAACCGTCCACCTCGACCAACCACCCTCCTTTCGTTTTTGCCTTAAGTAACCATATGTCTTATGTAACCATACCAAATGTAACATATCATACTAAATAGAGTGTCTCGGATTTATATACAGATTAATACGAAATGCTCTGAGACCAGATTGCAACATCGACCAGCAGTAGCCTTGCCAAAATTCTGCAATCATTAGGCTACTACTGCAAAACAAGCTTAAAATACCTCACTACTAGGCCTATCTTTTACGCACAAAATATGTTTCTAATTTCAATTAGTGTGAAAGACTGAAGGCTGTACCGACGACATAGTACATGTAATGTATTGTTGTAACATAGTAACAAGCGTGTGTGTGATCCACAGTTGCAACATTGTAACAAGCGACGACACATACTTTGTAGCCAACCCGAAACAAATACAGAAGCGTTCTGGAGTGCAGAACGAGCGGCAATATGTCAGTAGATACGGTGTAACTAACCACACACAGACAGAGCGCGCATAGTAGTAGCAGCAAGGCTATATATAGCAGGGATTTAACCCGGAAACCGAGGTAGAAAAATACCTCCTGCTCCCGTATTGATAAATGCAAATAAATGCATTAGTCAAACTGTAGAGGGTCGGCCAGGCTATGTTCATGAATCACCGGTAAAGGGACCATGAATAGGTTATTGAGTGAAAACGATGTTTCCCTGCAGGACCTAGGCTGATCGGTGGGAATGCATGACCGTTCGGGGTTTAAGTAGGTGTGGACCCCCCAATAAACCGACCAAGCCAAATCCTGCTATTCTAAAGGCTTACCTAGACTGTGATCTCCCGCAAGCCCCCCGCCGGATCCCACCTGAGTACCCCCACCTTACCATGTGCGATCTGTTGTTGCTGGGCTTGCCATTCCAGATATCTGGCCGCTTCCAGAAGAGTATCGATGCTCATCGCGCGCCCCTCACCGTAGGCTACCCGATCGCCCCGGACAGAAGAAAAAAAGCGCAGCGGACAGAAGAAAAAAGCGCAGCCGAGGTCCCCCGGGGAGCACTGTCTGGAGCGCAGCTGACCCGAACGCGCACTTTGTTTTTTCCTCTCTTCCTCTCGTCGGAAAGAAAAATAGTAAAAATATATTCCTTGGATAAATGCTCTCTCACACGTAAAGGAGGGATTGCAACAAGATGGCGATGCGATCACGGGAATACATAACAAGGCGAATGCAGTCAGGGCCCGCCCTCCACGTTTCTACCCTTCTCTGTTACTACAGCCCGGGGTAAAGGACGGCAGGGTGTGCGCTACTGTGTGTAGAGGATATCAGACCCAAACAGAGGGGTTATCCCGCCTGTGGCCTGCACACACTACAGGCCAGACACCTTCGATACAAAAGTCCAAGGTTTATTGCGTCTATGAATATGAAAGCGTTTGGGTCGCTTTTTGATGTTAAACTGCGTGGCATCAACGCCTGGCGGCACTCTGAAGTCCCTGAGAGAGATCCCGTCCGTGTGATCCACTCGGATCCACACTCCAGGGTTTAGCCCCTCCCCTGGCCCGCAGCTCATTAAACATGTCGATGCGAATTGGCCAATGAGTGCACAGAACAACAAGGCATGGTGCCTGTCCACATGGGCACCCGCTCCGCCCGAGCGCGGCTCATTTACATGTGCTCTCTCGGGACCAGACCTGTCAGTCACACATAGAAGGGGGCGGGGCATCCACTCGACAACATATGTTTTTTTAAAGATGTCATGTTATATTTATAAGAGTGCTAATCTGTTTTTAATGTCTATGGTGCTAATATGGGATAGGCAAAGATAGACGTGTTTTTGTTCGGGAACAAAACATTTCATGTGACAATGTCCCAAAGTGTAATTTGTTTTTCTCATCTTTTGTGTTCCCTTTCTGTGTTCGTTTCTTTTCGTTGTCCTTCGTGTCCTGCTTGGCTAGTTTATCCTTTTCATGCTGCATCTTTTCTGTTTCTTACTTCATATGGGAGTCTTAGCCTGATCCCTTTGCTGCTTCTTCCTGTTGAGAACCTCCTCCACGTTGGAGTTATTAAACAGGGATTTATCACCACTGGGCTCCTGCATGCTCCTCCTCATCATCTGTGATATTGGCATATTGAGCCAGAACTGCTTCTTTCCTCTTCCTGGACTCCTCAGATACTGCCTTCTGGTTCACCACAATCTGCGCCTGCTTCTCTATCAGACTGGCAATGGCCAGTACCTCAACATACTCCTTGTCCTTGGTTGCAGACCGAGCACAGCTCTCTACCCACTGCCTGATGATCTCTTTGCAGACTTCAAGTTTCTCATCCTCCAAAAACGCAGATAGTATTCCAAGCAGTGCGTCGTCCTTCTCTCCGTCACTCTCCTCCTACCCTAACATAGCAGGCGTAAAAGAAAACGCCTGAGTGGAGTTCCCACATCCGGTTTCAGCAGAAAAGGAAGCTAGGTTGAATTAGCTATATCCCTGAAAACCAGATACATCCGGTTGTTGGCAACTCCGCTAAGACCACTCTCCTCCTCTTGAAGTACCGGTACTCCTAAAATATAAGCTCCATACTCCTCCTGGTCCACTTCTAAGGAGTCTAGCCATTCATTCAGCCACATCTCAAACTCCCCGGCATCTGCTATAGACGCCACCATCTTGGCCGTTCCACATCCACACCCTACCCGACCACTATAACCAACATCGCTAATGGATCTCTCTCCCCGTTCATTGACTTTGTAAAAAATCAGATGGTCGTTATCTTGGTGTTAAGGCATTTTTGTAGTTGTTGTCACTTGCAATACTACCTCAATGGCCAGCCATTATCTCTCTCTCTACCATTTACTTTCTATTTCTCTCCCTCTCTCGTTTACTTTGTCACTCCCAGCTACTCCTTCTCTCACCTCGCACACGCTCACCCCTCATGTTGTCATTTTTGAGACTCGGGGGATGGCTCAGAGATTGAACACAAGCGAGAGAACCCGTGTGTGTATTGCTGGACACGCATTCGTGTGTCAATATGAGTGGACGACTCTGCATGTACAGCGTGTGTGTGTGTGGATGTGCGTGTACAGTGTGTGTGCCTGCATGGTAACAGTCTCTGATTGGACAGAGCCCAGTGGAATACCCTCTGCTCTCATCACAGAGTCTGACTGTCTCGACCAATCATAACAGCTGCTCAGAAGTGTGGAAGGGCTGCTCCCACTACACTGCACGCTCGTTCTCTCTCTCACACGGACGACTGTCTTCAGATTTCAGCCTAAGAGAAGGGGATTGTGTGTGTGTGTGTGTGTGTTTGTTATCAGTGTGTGTGTGTGTGTGTGTGTGTGTGTGTTTGTTATCAGTGATGATGTGTGTGTGTGTGTGTGTGTGTGTTTATCAGTGATGATGTGTGTGTGTGTGTGTGTGTGTGTGTGTGTGTGGGTGTGTGTGTGTGTGTCCTCAGGGCAAGAACTCGTGAGTTGGAAGAACTGAGAGACCTATGGCGTGGGTGTTATCCTTAGCCACCTGCTGACAAGGCTGACAAGATAGGACTCTTGTTCATTGTATTGAATACAAAGGCCCAACACAAAATGGGTCATGCACAAGATTTTAGTCAGACCAAGCTATAACATTATATATTTACTACGACATAAGCCATTTACCCTCCTCATTAACACTGAACACCGACACTACTAGAGGGAAGAGAGCAATAGAGATGAGCAAGAAAGAGAATATAAAGAGAGAGGGAAAGAGCAACAGATTCATGAAAGAGAGAGGGGAAGAGCACAAGCGATTGAAGAGAAGGAGAGAAACATTGATTGGATATCAGACACCTGTCTTTCTAGGCACATTTCAAGACCACCTGTGGATAGACAGACAGACACATACATGCTAAATCTGTTCTCCGGTCTGACAAGATAACAATCAAATCAACTGATAAATACTGTACCAAATTAGCATGTGTATGACAACAAACCAGGACTATCTCTGGGATTAGTCTCACTGTGTAGGCCTACCACACATGATAAAGTGTGCGCGCACATGTTGCGGGTTTGGAGAAAGAAGTAGGCCAATGTTTCTGCTCTAGTGGTTCTCTGGAGAAACAGAGTTCGACTCAGGATAGCCTGGTTCTGGGTAGGTGTCTCTACTCTAACCCCTTCACCCATCCTCTCATCCCCCTCTTTCCATCATGTCTCTATCCTTCATTTTAACTCCACCTCCTTTACTATGTTCTCTCCTCCCATTTTCCCTTTATCATTTTCATCCTACTATTTTGTATTTATTAAGGATACTCTTTCCTGGGGTCCAGCAACATTAAGACAGTTATATACAGTTTAAAATATTCCATTACATTTCATAATACTTTACCTAATACATTTTGTGTTCCCCCTCAGGCCACTACTCCACTATCACATATTTACAATACAACATCCATGTGTACATGTGTGTAGAGTGTGTGTCTGTATGTGCCTGTGTGTGTCTCTCTTCACAGTCCCTGCTGTTCCATAAGGCGTATTCTTCTGTTTAAAAAAAAATCTGATTCTACTGCTTGCATCAGTTACCTGATGTGGAATTGACAATCTTCCTTTCATTATCCATGTTCTAAATCACTTCACCTCTCTCGCTTTACTGAGGCTGCAAAAGGTGCTCATGCATTCGCCGTCGTGGCAACTGTTGCCAGGATACGGTTCTCCAGGATCCAGTAATAGCTCTGTGGGTGAGGGAGGGAGTGAGCAGGTGTGTGTGTGAGCAGTGAATGGTGCATTATTAATGTGACCTGAACGTGCTCACCCTCAACCAGGTGTGTGCGTGTGTTATCCTCTACGCATACCAGGACTTCCTTATCACTATTTGACACAGTGAACCAGAGCTTAACAAGTGCACACATTGGCAGAGCTTGTTTAGCATGGCCCGGTCTCCCGGTTGGGCAATGTTAGCACTTGATTTCAAAATTCAGAACCCAGCGGCGGATGGAGTCAAAAACAAAACAACAACGAAAAGCATGTGGTGGAGATCAACTAGCTTCTTGATTAACAAACATTTGCATACACTTTTTTGTTGTTTTATTTTACTTGTTGGTTAAGGGCTGTAAGTAAGCGTTTCACTGTAATGTCTACACCTGTTGTATTCGGCACATGTGGCCAATACAATTTGATTTGAAGTGTCATGGTGCCGTCAGAAATGTTTCTTTTTTATTAATCTCGGACAATATTTCCTTATCTGTGGTGTTTTAGGTAATGATGACAGCTTCTCCGATAACGTAGTTTGGCGTCCTGAAGCTGTGCAAAACGTGCACATCCCATAAATAAAAACACATGACAAGGCCAACGTTATATTTACAGATTTTATTTGTAATTATGTTGCAACAATGACATCCAGATATTGATACACAATTTTACTGTGCGTGTGTGTATGTGCATCTGTTGTTGTTTGTGTGAGTATGAGTGTGTGTAAGAGAGAGCGAGCGAGAGAAGTGAGCACACTCCTTTGAGTAGGTACTAGAAGCCAGTCAGTCAGAAAGAGGGAGTATAAACAGAGGGAAAGGTTTGCCTCCACATACTTCTCTACATCTGTACAAACAGATGACCACAGAGTAAGAGAGCGAGAGAGAGTGAGATTCTCCTGTCATTATGTACACACGTACAGTACGCATTGCACGCAGATGCGCACACACTCATCTCAACTAAAGGACTAAATGTTCATTTCAATCCCCCCCCCCCCCCCCCCCCCCCGTTTCTTCCCCCCACATCTCTTATTCTCCTCCTTCTCCTCCCCATGTCATCCTCTCATCCTTCTTTCGCACTCCTCTCCTTCCCTCTCTCCCAGGTAGCGTCAGACTATAATAGCAGAGGCAAGAAACTAAATTAAACCAAACCCTTAAAGGACATACGTGATTGGGTTGCGTGCACTGTGCCACAATTACCCAGCATCCACTGGGGCAGAACACACAAACCATTTACCCCTTGACCCCCATCAGGACGTCATGACAACGGAATGAAAATTTACAGTATACAAGTTTTGGAGGAATTCACCATGCAAGGAATACTTTTCGCTTTTAGTGTGTGTGAGAGAATGTGTGTGTTAGAGTGTGTAACATTTATTAAGCGTACTCTATATCCAGAATAATTTACATAAAAGGACAATATTTATTTTAACAGGGGAGGGGGTGAGGGATAGGGGGCAGAGGGGGAGCCTGGGTAACCATGGTATGGAGTGCGAGAGGTGGGGCTTAGGTGAGTGTCAAAGAGACAGGGTAGGATAGGATAGGGGGGAGGAGGGGGTTATAGGGCTGCTGTTGGGGGGGGATAGAGGAAGTTGGGGGGGGGGATAGGGCTGTGGTTGTGGGTTAGAGAGGAGGATGAGGACAGGGAGGTTGCAGGCAGACTCAGCGACACTCCCACACTTTGACTGTCTGATCAACGCTGCCTGTTACCACGTATGGAGCAGTCCGGTGCATATCTGTAACACAAGAGATACAGATGTAAGTCACAATGGATGATGGACTGGGTGGAGGCAGAACTGTGGAACTGGCAGAAGTGTGTTGGCGATCACACACACACACAGGTGGTTTTGACTAGATGTACTACATTTTAAGGGAATGTACACAGACAGACACATGGACACACTCTCACCCAGAGAGGTAACAAAGTGTTCGTGGGCACACAGGGTCTTCATGCAGCGCTTGTTCTTGTAGTCCCAGATCCTCAGAGTCTTATCATCAGCACAGCTCACTATGAACCTGCCTCCAGGGTGCACCAACACTCCACGCACCCAGTTATCATGACCCACCTAGAGGAGAGAACACACGTTACACACACTAGACCAGTGTTTCCCAACTTCAGTCCTCGAGTTCCCCCAACAGTACACATTTATATTGTAGCCCAAGACAAGCACACCCGATTCAACTTAATCATCAAGCCCTTGAGTTGAATGAGGTGTGTTTGTCCGGGGCTACAACGAAAATGTGTACGGTTGGGGGTACTTGAGGACCAGCGTTGGAAAACACTAAACTAGACCAACCTGTGAAAAAAAACACATTGGAAATCAATGGAAACCAATCGTGTTACCTGAGGAGGTGGTAACAAACACACAAATGTTACACACAAACACTCACCAGAGTCATAAGGCACATGCCAGTGCTAATATCCCACATCTTGATGGTCTTATCTCTAGAGCCAGAGAGAAGGAACGGACCGGACTTCCCATTCTTCTTACTCTACAGAGAGAGAGAACGAGAGAGGGAGGGGGGGGGGGAGAGAAAGAGAGAGGGAGAGAAAGAAAGAAAGAAAAAGAGAGCGAGAGAAAAAGAGCGAGAGAGAAAAAGGGGGAGAGAGAATATGCTCATCATCATTAAAAAAGCAAAAATACTAAAAATAGCATTTAGCCCATTTAAAAACAAGAGCATGTATGGACCGTTACATTGTTAACCTGCATAAAGTACCCAAGGGTTTGAAATTAATATCTAGAAAATTACTGAGGATTACAGAATGGTTTGACACTAGCTACACTTCTCCTTTCTACGGATTTCCTGCTTATTCCTTCCTGAATCTTCCAACCAGGATTTCTGGTAAACCTGGGAATTTTCATAGAGTTCTCAAAACTTTGCAACCCTAACCAAATAGGTTTACTGAAGCATTTCCCAAACTCGGTCCTAGGGACCACAAGGGGTGCATGTTTTGTTTTTTGCCCTAGCACTATACAGCTGATTCAAATAATCAAAGGATGATGATTAGTTGAATCAACCCTGTAGTGCTAGGTCAAAAACAAACGTGCACCCCTTGGGGTCCACATGACGGAGTTTGGGAAACACTGGGTTACTGAGTGAGGTTTAGGGTTAGTGTGTATGTATAGAGGTTCTCCTCACTTCCGAGCCGGTAGCCTCCAGGATGGTAGGGTGAGCGGTGTCGGGGGCCCAGGCGATACACTCCACCACGTGTTCGTGCTCTCGCAGCTCAGCCTTACACTCCTTGGAGGTGGCCACCCACACACGCACCGTCTGGTCGTTGGAACAGCTGGCGATAAGAGAACCATCCTGGTTGGGCCGGACCATCCTCACCCACTCCCTGTGGCCTGTAAACGTCTTCACACAGTACCTAAAGAAAGAAACAGAGTTATACACAAAGACACACACACCTGCAGCAAAACTCAAATCCTGGACATTTTGCAACACCAGAATGTGTCTGCCACTGGATTAAGTATTTCAGCACCTGATAAGTGAGATAAGTGTGTTTCTGTGTCTCACCCAGTGGCCACCTCCCACATCTTGATGGTCTTGTCTCTGGAGGCGGAGACTATGTGGTCTCCGTTGGGCATGATGGCTACAGACGACACGTTATGGTCATGACCTGAAACAGACAGACGGAGGAGAGAGAGAGAGGGAAAGAGAGTAAGCCTAATACAAAGAACCAGTCCCACTTTACAGTACCTACCTTGTATAGCACAGTGATTACATAAGAGTAACCAAATATATAGAATCATTATTTTATATATATATATACACACAGTACCAGTCAAACGTTTGGACACACCTACATTTTAGTCATTTAGCAGACGCTCTTTAATTGTGTGCTGCCCCATGGGTCTCCCGGTCGCGGCCAGCTACGACAGAGCCTGGATTCGAACCAGGATCTCTAGTGGCACAGCTAGCACTGCGATGTAGTACCTTAGACCACTGCGCCACTCGGGAGACCGGTGCCACTATTAAACAGGTGTGTGAAATTTACAAAAAATAATCCCTGATTTTAATAAAGCCTGTCTGATCGGCGTTGATTATAGAAGGTAAGGCAGCCTTAAGGCAAATTGCTTGGGTTTTAGCTAATATCTAATCCAAAAGTGAGAGAGGGTCCTCATCTTTCTTTAGGATGAGTGACAGTGGCTTGATAAAACGTCTGGGGTAGAGATTTTGTATCAAAGCAGTGGGATTAGGCTGAGGCTAAAAGTGGACGGAGCGGTTTAGCAAATGTCTTAAATTCACCTGAGAACCCGTCTGGTCCTGGTGCTTTGCCATTTTTTAAGGACTTAATGGCTTGTAAAATTTCTGAAGTGGTAAATGGTTTATCAAAATCTATTCTCACTGCATCTGTTAGCTTGGGTATTGGTAAACTTGAGAGGAAAGCATCTGCCAAGAGATCTACAGAGGCTTCAGTGCAATATAAATCAAAGTAAAAGTTTCTGCGAGTGGCGCAGTGGTCTAAGGCACTGCATCGCAGTGCTAGCTGTGCCACTAGAGATCCTGGTTCGAATCCAGGCTCTGTCGTAGCCGGCCGCGACCGTGAGACCCATGCGACGGCGCACAATTGGCCCAGTGTCGTCCAGGGTAGGGGAGGGAATGGCCGGCAGGGATGTAGCTCAGTTGGTAGAGCATGGCGTTTGCAACGCCAGGGTTGTGGGTTCGATTCCCACGGGGGGCCAGTATGAAAAAAATATATAAAAAAAATAATGAATGCACTCACTAACTGTAAGTCGCTCTGGATAAGAGCGTCTGCTAAATGACTAAAATGTAAATGTAATTATTGATCACAACTGTCATTTGAGATCAACCCTGTTTCGGTACGAAGCTGGGATATTAGGTGGGAGGCTGTGGATTGTCTTAATTGGTGGGCTAGAATTCTGCTTGAATTCTATTTCTATGGTAGTAACCATGTAAGTACACTAACAACAGTGTAGGTAGGTCAGGGTTTCCGTTAGCCGGTAAATGCCAGCTTTCGGATGATAACATTTAAAGCCGATAAAATTGTTGTCTGCCTAATTGTCCGAAAAAAATAAAATCCATTGCAAAATAATGCTTTTATTCATTGATGAAAATACCAGTCGATGTGCTCCTACTTCTAAGGCAAATCTAGCTGCTTGGAAATTAGTGTGTTTCTATTTTAACTCACACAAAAGATGCGAGGTCCTCATAAGGTGTACCCGACTGGGCAAAATTGCCGAAGATTGTGTTATAATCCCAGTTTCCAGTGTGCCTGCCGAGGGGATTTTTTCTCCATTAAAAGACTGCCTCAAGATCACGTGTTCTTGAGGACAAAGTAACAAGGCTGATCCGCATCGCAAGCTGCTCCAAGGAGTTGGACAGTTTTGACTTCCCAACAGCACCAGCTCACTTTGAGCAGGCCAAGGTACGCCACAAAAACGCAATAAATTAGAGGCAAATTGTGTTCATCTGGCCCGGTCCTAGCAGTTCTTGCTGTCGCCCTAGACAAGATCAACATATGCCGCCCGTGTCATGTATAGTATAAAGATTTGGAATGGATTGGTAGAGTAGAGTAATGATATGCATCACGTGCAATTGGTGCATTTCAGTTGAGCTTTTTCAGTAGCACTTGGAAACGAAACATCATTGCCAACTATTCTCATCTGAGAATTAGTGTTGCAATCACTAGGCAGCCAACTGCCTATAGTAGGAAACAGTTATCAATAAGCCACGTATACCACATAAGACACGAGTCACGACCCCACGATATGTTTATTGTAATTTGAACTAACATTTATTCAGTGGCGTGTATTCATGGCTTCCCCAAAAAATTTACCAAGAAAATAAACAATTATCTTTAGTCTCTGTGTTTTCATAAATGTTCCTTCAATTCGCAAGAGGCTAAATATATCTCACCGGAGAAAGCATCCGAGCGAGCAAAACAGTAACCCTCTGTTTCAGTAGGCCATCTATCTGATGCGGTCTGGTCATAAAGAGAACATTTGGCCTCCCTTGATAAAAAAACATTAAATAATAGCCAATCACAGTGATGAACTAAACTGAGTGAGCTCGACTGTGAATGGTCCTGGCTTCAATCCTATCACATAGAAATACGTCATCGATAGAAACATCTCGTTGTTGTCCTCCGGTGGCTAGCTAGCTAAAATTGTCCCTTGATTAAATTAGCCATGGATGGAGATATGGATTTTGACTTTTTTATAACAGTGATTATAACAGTGATTCTGATCATACCAACCATAAAATTGATGGTGACCCTGTACTGAGAAGATGGAAGTTCAATATGTAGCTAGATGTAAAAGGCTAATGTTAACTAGCTTATGTTTCCCATGAACAGAAGTTAGGCTAATGAGCAAGCATTTTAACCAGGTAGCCTAGGACAACAAAAAATAAAAGCGGGTACTGTATGACAGAGTTATAGACCGTTTGTCAACATGAAAGAGAGGAAGATGGCATTGGCGTAGGGTGAGTCAACATGTTTTTTCTACTTACACACACACACACCAGAACCATGGACAGCCACAACAAAAATATAAACCTAACATACAACAATTTCAAAGATTTGACTGAGTTACAGTTCATATAAGGAAATCAGTCAATTTAAATAAATTCATTAGGCCCTAATCTATGGATTTCACATGTTTGGGCAGGGGTGCAGCCATGGGTGACCTCCCGAGTGGCGCAGTGGTCTAAGGCTAGCTGTGCCACTAGAGATCCTGGTTCGAATCCAGGCTCTGTCGTAGCCGGCCCGACCGCACAATTGGCCCAGCGTCGTCCAGGGTAGTGGAGGGAATGGCTGACAGGGATGTAGCTTAGTTGGTAGAGCATGGCGTTTGCAACGCCAGGGTTGTGGGTTCGATTCCCACGGGGGGCCAGCATGAAAAATAAAATAATGTATGCACTCACTAACTGTAAGTCGCTCTGGATAAGAGCGTCTGCTAAATGACTAAGATGTAAAATGTAATGGGTGGGCCTGGGCGGGCATAGGCCCAACCACTTGGCAGCCAGGCCCACCCACTGGGGAGCCAGGCCCAGCCAATCAGAATGAGTTTATTCTCCCCCCCACAAAAAGGCGTTATTACAGACAGAAATACTACTCAGCAACCCCCACCCCCACGATCCCACAGGTGAAGAAGCCAGATGTGGAGGACTGGCGTGGTTACACCGTGGTCTGCGGTTGTGAGGCCAGTTGGACGTACTGCCAAATTCTCTAAAATGACAGAGGCAGCTTGTGGTAGAGAAATTAACATTATATTATTTCTGAACAGCTCGGGTGGACATTCCTGCAGTCAGCATGCCAATTGCACGCTCCCTCAAAACTTGAGACATCTGTGGCATTGTGCATTGTGCTGGCCTTTTGTCCCCAGTACAAGGTGCATCTGTGTAATGATCATGCTGTTTAATCAGCTTCTTGATATGCCACACCTGTCAGGTGTAGGGAGTATCTTGGCAAAGGAGAAATGCTCACTAACAGGGATGTAAACAAATTTGTGCACAACATTTAAGAGAAAAAAGCTTTTTGTGTATATGAAACATTTCTGGGATTTTTTATTTCAGCTCAACATGGGACCAACACTTTACATGTTGCATTTATATTTTTGTTCAGTGTAGTTTACGTTAATTGGATTAAATAGTTTTTGGCATCTTTTAGTTGTCACTGTATTAGACTAAGCATAGGTGATTTGATGACGTTGAAATGTTGATGTTGAAATGGTGCTGGAATAGTGGAGCCAGCTCCTGTTTCCTTTGCGACTTGCAGTAACTCTCCGTGGTTCTAAATCAATAGGTGTTTAGGTCTGAAAATGTTGGAAACATGAAAATGTTCTTGACCATGCAGTAGGTCATGCAACTGTTTGTTACATGCAATATGCTTTGTGGACTTCACCGGTTGCTCTCCGGTTTTGTGATTAAACAAAAAGGTGTGGTTGAATTTATTCTGCCACTGTATCTTCTTAATGTCTCGGCCTTAGGCATATATCACGGCTCGATCATGGCTAGAAGGGATCCAGCTTTTGTCAAATTAACGTCAAAAGTTGATTTCTTTGCATTTTAGCTAACCCTAACCTTTTCCTAACCTTAACCTAATTCTCCTAACTGGCTATGTTAATTCTCCTAACCTGCCATGAAAAGCCAAATCTGACGTTATTTGACAAAAGCTGGATCCCTGCTGTTCGTAGACAGACATGTTTTGTTATTTATTAGGCCTAATTAAAATGTTCACGCCTAGGCTAAATTAAATTAAAGAGGCCTAACATTTTCATGCAAATAGCCAATAGGACAGGTCGTTCGCATTTTATATTAAACAAATATATTTTGAAGTTGTGCTTTATTACTGTATATGCATATGGATGTCCGGTAAATTTCTGAAATGTCTGGTAAATTCAAATCTTGCCGGTCACATTGTCCGGCGCCAAATTTTCCTAAGGGAAATCCTGAGGTAGGTATACATTGGTAAATAGTGCTTGTTATGCTGTTATACCACTTGAAGGAACACACAACCACACCTCAGCCCCTCACCGTGCATGGTGCGGATGCACTCGAAGCCCTGGAAGTCCCACAGCTTGATGGTCATGTCTGCAGAACAGGAAGCCAGCAGCTTGCCCGTCTGGTCAAAGGAGATGTCCTGGACAGAGTCTGTATGGCCCTTCAGTGTCCGCTCAAAGTCCCCTGCCTCATAGTCCCACACCTAGAGAGAGAGACACACATTACAAAGCACACACACAGTCAGTTAACATCACTTTGAAACATGACAGGGCAATAAACTCCCAAAGGATCAATGCAAATGACATAAAGTTTTGGAAATTGGAATCATATCCAATGCAAATGAGTGAGAGAGAGAAAGGAGAGACGACAAGAAGAAAAGAGGAGGGAGAGAAAGACAGCGAAAGAGCAGGAGGAGATTTGCATGTATCCCAGGGAGCAGTGCGCCGTGCTCTGCCAGCGTTGCCCCTGGTTACCAGAGCATCACCCCATCTCGACGTAGATAGGCAGTGACACAGCAGAAAAGACGAGGGAGAGCGATTGAGAGAAACAGAGAGAACAGGCTGAATTAAAAACAAAAGAGACTGAATACAATATTAAATTGTATTAAATATTTCGGGGAACGGCCTCGTCTCCGAGGGAAGATCCTCGGAGCCAGATGATGTGATGGCAGGTAGCCCTATGTGGGGCTGCTGGCATCGAACCCCCCCCCCCCCCCACTGGGGGAGAGGAGCTCCAATGACAGGCCTCAAGGTTATTATAGCTGGTGGTGGTGAGGAGGTGCTGCTGAAAAACAGCAAGTGAGAGAACGAGGGTAAGTTGACATATAAATACATCCCAAGATTTACACCCATTGGTTGAGAGAGGAAGGTGATAATTACAACATGAGCCCATAGGTTAAACAGCAAGCGTGAGGACTGTGCATTATTGTGCCGTGCTTATAGGCAAAGGGTAAATAGGTGAATGACATTCCGCACATGGCTAATAGGAAAGAGGAGAAGAAACAAGACGCCAGTAGAATAGGAGACAAAGTGAATTGCGTGATGATTACTGGATGATGTTAATCAAGCATTCAGACCAGCCTTCCTGGTAGAACTTTCATAAACTACAGTGCATTCGGAAAGTATTCAGACCCCTTGACTTCTTCCACATTGTTATGTCACAGCCTTATTCTAAAATTGATTAAATTGTTAATTTTTTTCACATCAATCTACACACAATACCCTATAATGACAAAGCGAAAACAGGTTTAGACATCTTTGCAAATGTATTAAATGTAAAAAAACAGAAATACCACATTTACATAAGAATTCAGACTCTTTACTCAGTACTTTATTGAAGCACCTTTGGCAGCGATTACAGCCTCGAGCCTTCTTGGGTATGACGCTACAAGCTTTGCACACCTGTATTTGGGGAGTTTCTCCCATTCTTCTCTGCAGATCCTCTCAAGCTCTGTCAGGTTGGATGGGGAGCATTGCTGCACAGCTATTTTCAGGTATCTACAGAGATGTTAGATCCGGTTCAAGTCCAAGCTCTGGCTGGGCCACTCAAGGACATTCAGAGACCTGTCCCGAAGTCACTCCTGTGTTGTCTTGGCTGTGTGCTTAGGGTCATTGTCCTGTTGGAAGGTGAACCTTCGACACAGTCTGTTTTTATTTTGTTATTTTGGGGTTTTGTGTGTAGATTGATGAGGACATTTTAGAATAAGGCTGTAATGTAACAAAATGTGGAAAAAGTCAAGGGATCTGTATACCTTCCGAATGCACTGTACATAAGGAAAATGTGAGAAACACAGAGAGAGAGAGAGAGAGAGAGAGAGAGAGAGAGAGAGAGAGAGAGAGAGAGAGAGAGAGAGAGAGAGAGAGAGAGAGAGAGAGAGAGAGAGAGAGAGAGAGAGAGAGAGAGAGAGAGAGAGAGAGAGAGAGAGATAAGAGAACGAAAGCTAATGGACAGGGTGAGGCTGCTTAGAGATAATATCTAAATGGGAGACAGTCATTGACCTACAGGATGTGTAAAAAAAAAAGTGTATGTGGACCAGGGAGCCATAGGCCTACATAGAGATATATAGGCCTATAGTAACAATCAGCTTCGATCGCAAACTATGCAACCATATAAAGGTTCAAAGAAATACTTTGTTTCTATGAGATTGACCGAAGCAAGACAGACAAAATGAATAAATTGAGCAAAATAAGCATATATTGTCATGTGTTTAAATTCACAATCGCAATTCAGTTAGACCCCAAACAATCAAAAATCAAAATGAGCAATCCCCTTCAAAATGCAAAAATATAAGTAATCCAAACTAATACTGTCAACAGGATCAATCTCACCAGATGGTTGAGGAAGAGGAAAATCCGTCCTGGTGGAGATTCCCTTATAAACAGCTCAATGTTCATGGCATCCTCTAAAACGATCTACATATGAATTCTGTTGTTGGGGTTAACAATCCACAAGATTGCCAGACATCATTCCAAGTTCTGCAGGGGTGCGGCCAGTGGATTCGTAAGAGGAGTTGTTGATAGCAAACCGGAATTCAGGCAACTCCTTATCCCACTTCCGGTGATGCTCTCCCACGAAAGACGCCATCATGGTCTTTAGAGTCCTGTTGACCCTTTCAGTGAGGTTTGTCTGAGGGTGGTAGTTGGTGGTCAGCTTTTGGATCACTCCCCAATTCTTGCAGCGGTCTGAGAGGACTTTCCTCGTGAACTGGGAACCACGATCAGAGATTAATTTTAGGGACCCCGGACCCCCCATCTTGTGAAGATTTCATTTTTCTGAATTTGGCAGAGTGAGTCTTGCTGTCTCAGAGGGGGAAAAGCGCCACCCACTTTGTGAAATAGTCTACAATCACAAGTAGAAAGGCATTTCCCTTCTTGCTCTTGGGAAACGATCCCATAACGTCCATGCCCATCATGTGGCCTGCCTCCTCTATCTCTGTAGATTGCAGGACACCAGCAGGTTTGCTGTTAGCAGGTTTGTATTACTGACAGGTACTGCACTCTGACATGTTGCCAGACATCTCTCCTGACAGTCGGCCACCAAGCCACTTCCAGGATCTTCAACAGGGTCTTCAGCCTTCCCAGGTGTGCCCCCAAGGGGTTGTTGGATGAAGGAAGATGCTGACAAGTTGCACAACATGTTGGTACTTCATTCCTTCTCCTTTGATAGGAACAGTCCTGTACAAAATGTCTTTGTACTTCCCATCCAATTCTGTCAGGCCGATCATCATCTGTGTCTCCTCTTGCTTTCAATTCCCTCACGCAGTTTTTATGAGCACATGCAATCTCTGCAAGGGATGTCGGCAGATCAGAGGCACAAGATGCTTGTTTGCGAGCCACATAAGGAGCCATCACTGGGTTGTCTGAAGGTTCTGCAGCCCTTAAGAGAGCATCTGGGACAACATTCATGCAGGCTTTACAGTAGTGCACTTGGAACCTATTGTCTTATTGTCCATCTGGTCAACCTTGAAGTGGTCTTGGGGGAATTGAAGGCCCACGATAGTGCAGCATGGTCAGTAAACACCATAAACGGAACTCCTTCCAAATAATGGCGCCACTTCTCAACTGCCCAAACTACCGCAACACACTCCTTTTCCGAAGTAGAGTAGTTGTACTCTGCCCCTTTCAGACCTCTGGAGGAATATGCTAGGACCCTCTCAACCCTATTGATTTTCTGTGTCAGGATTGCTCCAAGACCCAAGCCACTGGCATCAGTTTGTACCTGGAAAGGCAAGGACAGGTCAGGTTGTGAGAGAACCAGGCTTTTATAGGGTGATCTTTAGCTGGTCCACACCACTGCTGGCATTTCTCTGTCCAGTCCCACTTCACTCCTTTCCGCATGAGGTTGTTCAAAGGAGAGGAAAGGTCAGCAAAGCGGGGTATAGACTGCATTCGGAAAGTATTCAGACATTGTTACGTTACAGCCTTATTCTTAAAGGATTAAATAAATACAAATTCTCAATTTACACACAATACCCCATAATGACAAAACAAAACCAGGTTTAGATTTTTTGGGAAATGTATTAAGAATAAAATACAGAAATACCTTATCTACATAAGTATTCAGACCCTTTGCTATGAGACTCGAAATTGAGCTCAGGTGCATCCTGTTTCCATTGATCATCCTTGAGATGTTTCTACAACTTGATTGGAGTCCACCTGTGGTAAATTCAGTTGATTGGACATGATTTGGAAAGGCACAGTGCATGTCAGAGCAAAAACCAAGCCATGAGGTCGAAGGAATTGTCCGTAGAGCTCCGAGACAGGATTGTGTCGAGGCACAGATATGGGGAAGGGTACCAAAAAAGTTCTGCAGCATTGAAGGTCCCCAAGAACACAGTGGCCTCCATCATTCATAAATGGAAGAAGTTTGGAACTACTAATACTCTTCCTAGAGCAGGCCGCCCGGCCAAACTAAGCAATCGAGGGAGAAGGCCCTTGGTCAGGGAGGTGACCAAGAACCCGATGGTCACTCTGACAGTGCTCCAGAGTTCCTCTGTGGAGATGGGAGAAACTTCCAGAAGGACAAACATCTCTGCACCACTCCACCAAGCAGGCCTTTATGGTAGAGTGGCCAGACGGAAGCCACTCCTCAGTAAAAGACACATGACAGCCCGCTTGGAGTTCGCCAAAAGGCACCTAAAGGACTCTCTGACCATGAGAAACAAGAATCTCTGGTCTGATGAAACCAAGATTGAACTCTTTGGCCTGAATGCCAAGCGTCACGTCTGGATGAAACCTGGCACCATCCCTACGGTGAAGCATGGTGGTGGCAGCATCATGCTGTGGGGATGTTTGTCAGCGACAGGGACTGGGAGACTAGTCAGGATCGAGGAAAATATTTTACGGAGTAAAGTACAGAGCGATCCTTGATGAAAACCTGCTCCAGAGTGCTCAGACTGGGGTGAAGGTTCACCTACCAACAGGACAACGACCCTAAGAACAAAGCCAAGACAATGCAGGAGTGGATTCGGGACAAGCCTCTGAATGTTCGAGTGGCCCAGCCAGAGCCCGGACTTGAACACGATCGAACATGTCTGGAGAAACCTGAAAATAGCTGTGCAGTGACACTCCCCATTCAACCTGACAGAGCATGAGAGGATCTACAGAGAAGAATGGGAGAAACTCCCCAAATACAGGTGTGCCAAGCCTGTAGCGTCATCCCCAAGAAAAATCAAGTGCTGTAATCGCTGCCAAAGGTGCTTCAACAAAGTACTGAGTAAAGGGTCTGAATACTTATGTAAATGTTATTTCAGTTTATTTTTTATACATTTGCAGATCTCTAAAAACCTGTTTTCGCTTTGTCATTATGGGGTATTGTGTGTAGATTGAGGAAAAACATTTATTAATCAATTTTAGAATAAGGCTGTAACGTAACAACATGTGGAGAAAGTGAAGGGGTCTGAATACTTTCCAAATGCACTGTAGGTTTCCAGGGTCCACACAGTCCCATGCCACACAAGTGAATTGGGCTTTCCTTCAGCTGTGTGTGACTTTCCATCCGTGAGCACAAAGGCTCTGGAATCCCAGGTGATGAGCTGCTCACCTGGTTTGGCCAAGTGCTACCATAGCTGCTTCTGCATCAAGCTAAAGGTGCATCCTGCATCTAACACAGCCTCACCTTGGGCGCTCCAAGTTTCTATGGGGACTACCAGTAAGGCAGGAAACTCAGCTTGTGCTATGGCCATGTGGTCAGTAGGTCTACCATCTGTGGAGTCTTTTGATCTTGGTGTTTGTTTCTTCCCATTTCTCTCTTGTGACTGTTGATTATTCACCTTGGCCAAGTAGTCCTTCTTTGAAGCCATGACGTTTTCCACCATAGAGCTGACTTTGACAAATTGCTCAACAGTCATGACAGATCCTCTTAAACTGCTAGCAAGAGTTGGATTGCAGTTATTCAAGAGCCTTCTCACCATCTCAGTCTCTGACATGTCCGGCTTCCATTTCAGGCACAATGTCCTGTAATCACAGGCAAAGTCCCGAATCCATTGGTCTGGATCTTGAAAAAAAATTCTCACCTGTTCTTCAACTTCAGTCAGGTAATCTGTCGGTAAGAAAGCAACCAGTAAAACTCTTTAATTTTTCCCAATTGTTAAAACTTTTTTTTTTAAATGTACTATCCACCAGGTCCTGGAAGGGCCTGTGAGGACTGTGGAAAAGGTTGCAACAAGCTCTGCATCAGAAAAAGGTCTCAGTGTTAGGAAGTTCACACACTGTTCAGTGAAATGTAAAACCGCTGTAGTATCCCTGTTTACACCAAAGGTAGGAAAATCCATATGGGAACTTTATGACGTTCCTTTTGGGATATTACTGACATCAGGGGTATGACAGCAGAAGGTTCTAGAGGTTGGGGTGCTTGTGGATTTCACTTTAGAGATCTCCTTTTAACATTTCTCATCTCTTCTGAGCATACATTTCACCACTGCTTGCTCCAGTTGGGCTAGTGAGTTTTTCATTGTCACTACCATGGCCTCAAATTGTTGCTCCACATACTCTGAAGCTGGTCTTTCTGTTCACAGCACTTTCCAGAGAAGCCTTGAAATCTCTCCAGAGTGTTTAATTGATCTTGGAATCATTTGACAGTGTTGTTGACTTCCTCCAAATCAACTGTAGTAGTAAGTGTGGCATTTTTACCACCACCACCACCATCTTCCGAACTGTCAAGATAAAACTCACAAAACAGTGATGATATTTCAGCCCCAGGATTTCTAAAAGTAACACCAGGCCCAGGGATGAGGGGGTGTACCTTGGCCTGCTTCATCTTGCCCTGGCTCAATGTCTGCTTGTACCTCTAAATGGCTAAGGTCAGACTCGACAAACGCCATCTTAGCAACAACGTAACTCTCATAAAAATAAAAAGGAACAAGTCTCCCCGTACTGGCCTCCACTCTAACAATCAGCTTGGATCGCAAACTATGCTACCATATAAAAGTTCAAAGAAATACTGTGTTCATATGAGTGACCGAAGCAAGACAGACAAAATTAATAAATTGAGCAAAAGAAGCATATTATCATATAAAGTGTATAAATTCACAATCTCAATTCAATTAGACCCCAAATAATGTTCAGAATGTCCAAGTCCAATAAAAATGTTCTCAGAGTCAATCAAAAAGCAAAAAATGAGCAATGCCACTTCAAAATGCAAAAGATCTAAGTAATCCAATACAGGCACAATATAATACTGTCAACAGGATCAATCTCACCGGATGGTTGAGGAAGAGGAAAATCCGGCCTGGTGGAGATTTCCTTATAACAGCTCAATGTTCATGGCATCCTCTAAAACGATCAACATATGAATTCTTTGTCGTTGGGGTTAACAATCCACAAGAATGATCAACAATTATTAAATGGAATGACTAATATAGGTTCTTAAAAAGGTTTTTCCAAACAAATAGAACCTCAGCCAGGTACACACCAAACATTTCAAAACTCTCCTCCATTTCTAAAAGAGAAATGCCGTCTTAAAAGGATAGCCCGCCAAACTGACAATGGCGGCCATCTTAGATTTGACAGTGAAAATAATGCAGTCAGAACTGGCTACATAACATAACATGAAAATACACATAAAGGTTTAACCTTGCAAGTTATGTGCCTATCACCTCGTGGCAGCATCACACTATGGCTCCCTGGTCCACATACACTTTTGCTGTACTTTTAAACCAAGAGCTTAGCAAATGATTGAAGCACACGCACACACCTTGATGGTGGCGTCCTCGGAGGAGGTGACCATGACGGAGAAGACAGGATGGAAGATGACCCGTGTGACGGGGGAGCGGTGGCCGCTCAGGGCGTATCTCTCTGGGGGACGGGGGATCCACTCCTTAGGGTCCCTCTTCTGGGCCACCGGACCCCCTAGAGTAATCTCCTCTTTGGCCTCGTTCAGCTTCGACTCCAGCTCCATCACCTGGGGGAGAGAAGGGGGGGTTGGGAGAGAGGGTTGAGAGAGGTAGGAAAGAAGGAATAGTTGGAAGATAAGGGGTGGAAAAGAGGACAACAGGAGAAGAGGAATAATGAGGTATTAGTTCAGTTGGTTGTTTATTGTTCTCCAACACAGCGTTGTTTCACTCATACTCCAGATATACAGCGCATTCAGACCCATTCACTTTTCCACATTTTGTTACATTACAGCCTTATTCTACAATTGATTAAATACATTTTTTTTTAACTCAATCTACAGACAATACCCCATAATGACAAAGCGAAAACAGGTTTGTAGACATTTTTGCAAATGTATTGAAAATAAAATACAGAAATACCTTATTTACATAAGTATTCAGACCCTTTGCTATGAGACTCAAAATTGAACTATGGGGCATCCTGTTTCCATTGATCATCCTTGAGATGTTTCTACAACTTGATTGGAGTCCACCTGTGGTAAATTCAATTGATTGGACATGATTTGGAAAGGCACACACCTGTCTATTTAAAAGGTTCCACAGTTGACAGTGAATGTCAGAGCAAAAACCAAGCCATGAGGTCAAAGGAATTGTCCGTTGAGCTCAGAGACAGGATTATGTGGAGGTACAGATCTGGGGAAGGGTACCAAAAATGTTTTGCAGCATTGAAGGTCCCCAAGAACACAGTGGCCTCCATCATTCTTAAATGGGAGAAGTTTGGAACCACCAAGACTCTTCCTAGAGCTGGCCGCCCGAGGGAGAAGGGCCTTTGTCAGGGAGATGACCAAGAACCCGATGGTCACTCTGACATGAGCTCCAGAGTTCCTCTGTAGAGATGGGAGAACCTTCCAGAAGGACAACCATCTCTGCAGCACTCAACCAATCAGGCCTTTATGGTAGATGGAAGCCACTCCTCAGTAAAAGGCACATGACAGCCCACTTGGGGTTTGCCAAAAGGCACCTAAAGGACTCTCAGACCAGTCTGATGAAACCAAGATTGAACTCTTTGGCCTGTATGCCAAGTGTCTGAATACTTATTGTAAATGTGATTTAAGTCTTAAATGTTATATAAAATTTGCAAAAATGTCTAAAAACCTGTTTTTGCTTTGTCATTATGGGGTATGTGTGTGTAGATTGATGAGGGGATTTTTTTTAAACAAAACAATTTTAGAATAAGGCTGTAACATAACAAAATGTGGAAAAAGTGTAGGAGTCTGAATACTTTCCGAATGCACTGTACACACATACAACACAGTCACAGCCAACTGACATACACATCAAATACCATAACACCACAAACGTGACGTCAACAATCACCTTCTTCTGTAATCTGATGACAGAGGTCCATTTCTTTTCCAAAAGACCAGCGTACTTCTTATCTAACTCCTCATTCTGTGGAAGTGTGGGAAGGGAGACATAGATGGAAATATGAGAGAGTGATTTGTAGGTTTTCAATTGTTGTAAGGAAATAAAGAATAGGTTAGTGTGGCTGTTGTAATCATGGAAGTTGTGGGGTTAGTTAGTGTGTGCTCTTACCATATCTAACTCAGCCTCTTTCTTGAAGGTGGAGTAGGCTTCCTCATAGCCGTTGGAGCGTAGGTAGTCTGCTATCGCTCGGTTTCTAACACAGAGAGAGGAAGAGAAAACAACAGATTTGGTAGTCCTTTCCAGTCACAGCCCGTCATCCCGTAAATGTGTTGAAAATGGCAGATTTGGCCATTTATAAGCACCTAAATTGGAACGCAGTGGCTGTACAGAGACATGCTATACATGACGTCAGAGCTCAGGTTCTCCGCTTCACAGCGGCTGTATGGGTTTTGACTGACAGCCATTATAAAGTTGAGCGACAAGATGCCTCCATCCCTCCAGCTAATTGGGCTACTGTTGCACATTTGTTGTCTGAGTGAGGGAAACATTGAGTATTATAATACTGCTTTGATGTCATAGAAGCAAACCACACACCCTTGAGTCCAAATCTGCACTTCACATTTCCATTATCAATGTTTATGATCGCCATGTTTGATCCACAGTTACAAGGATGACATACATGCGTTATACCCTGGGTTGTCCTGAACAGAACGAGCCCGTTTGTCATATTGTGAAGAAAATTAGCCGTGGAACACGCACTTGAATGCATTCTATGCGCATCAAAATTACAATCCGTTTTTCTGAAGTGCCGTCTGAAAGCCTAACACTGTAAGATCGTATTTTATAACTATCCATGTTGGCAATAGAATAAGCTTTCAAGTTATGCCCACCTGACCCAGATTTTGGGATTGCGTACCTAACAGTAATTGTGCTATGGTGGGGACACAGGGTTGTGTTCCAAACAAAAAACTGCAAGTGGGCTTGCTTCAGTTCCTCAACAGCAAAGCTGGGAGAGCTCAATAAAGCACCTTATAGTTGAAGGCTCTTTCCTTGAGTCATAAAAGTGCATTGAAATGACTTAGGAACTGTGCAGTTTGGAGAGGTGTGGGGCCACTTGGAGACACCAGTTAGACCTCCCACTCAAACCCTTGTAATCGTTTTTTCTTATCTTGCACCTACTCCAAAATGTCAATGAGCATTCTTATTATGTTACTGAATGTATCCAGAGTATTTTCAGATTTCTTTACTGACAAAGGCTGTGATAATTACAGTAAATGTAAAATGCAAAAAATCAAATGTGTAATGTTTGGATTCAATCTTGTGTCTGGTGAACTGATCTCCAAAGTGTTCCCTTTCAATTGCATATGATTTTATATTTCTTCTGTTAGAAACATTTCAATATGGCCCTATCCATATATGCCAATTTCCAAGAGAGTAAGGGGTTAACGCACATTATATTGTAAGGTTTTCAGAGTCTTCATAAATGGTATGTAACCAACAAAATCAACAATATGTAACGTACATTGCGTTAGTGCACCATTACAGTTTCAACCTAGCATGTTTCATTGACTCAGTATTTTCTGTGATGACTCATTGCTAAACGTATCCTCGGCTGACAGCAATATCAGCAGTTCCACCTTAAGAGAACTCTCACTTCCACGTTAAGACAGATAGAGACCACACCCTGTCTGTCTGGCAGAAGCTGTGCTGCAGTGAAAGTGGGTGTGTGTGCTCGAGTGTGATCTCCAGTGATATGTTTCCTCTAGGAAAACGACGCTGAGGATTGAATCACAGACAGAGTGTGTTTATGGTTGTCATGGAAACATGCCAACCGCTGGAGGGATAGAACACTCAGGAGAAGCAGATCAACTGACCGACCCGGCCCAAACCACACAAACAAACAGTTGTATTTCTGAGTGGCAGCATGGCTACATTTTCTATGAGCAGCAACACTTTTTTGGCTCTGACTTCAGCACTCAACTGGCTGCTGGATAGTTGTAACGTGTGAGTGAGTGAGAGAGTATGAGTGTGTGAGAGTGAGTGAGAATGGGCGTGTCCGTCGGAGAGAGAACGTGAGTGTGTGCACAATTCTTTCAGAGAATGTGGTGTGTGTGTGTCTCTATGAGGTCATCCCTTGGCCATAGTGGTGGGAAGTAGGTGTGATGAGGGTGCTGCATATATTACATAATTTTTATTATATACACTACCAGTCAAAAGTTTGGACAAACCTACTCATTCAAGGGTTTTTCTTTATTTTTACTATTTTTTACATTGTAGAATAATAGCGAAGACATCAAAACGATGAAATAACACATTTGGAATCATGTAGTAACCAAAAAAAGTGTTAAATCAAAATATATCTTATATTTGAGATTCTTCAAATAGCAACCCTTTGCCTTGATGACAGCGTTGCACACTCTTGGCATTCTCTCAACCAACTTCATGAGGTAGTCACCTGGCATGCGTTTCAATTAACAGGTGAGCCTTCTTATTTGTCCTTTGGTCTGGAGTCCAAATTTGAGATTTTTGGTTCCAACCGCCATGTCTTTCTGAGATGCTGTGTGGGTGAACGGATGATCTCCGCATGTGTAGTTCCCACCGTAAAGCATGGAGGAGGTGGTGTTATAGTGTGGGGGTGCTTTGCTGGTGACTGGCTGTGATTTATTTAGAATTCAAGGCACACTTAACCAGCATGGGTACCACAGCATTACGCAGCGATACGCCATCCCATCTGGTTTGTGCTTAGTGGGACTATCATTTGTTTTTCAACAGGACAATGACCCAACACACCTCCAGGCTGTGTAAGGGCTATTTTATAAAGAAGGAGAGTGACGGAGTGCTGCATCAGATGACCTGGCCTCCACAATCCCCCGACTTCAACCCAATTGAGATGGTTTGGGATGAGTCGGACGGCAGAGTGAAAGAAAAGGAGCCAACAAGTGCTCAGCATGTGGGAACTCCTTCAAGACTGTTGGAAAAGCATTCCAGGTGAAGCTGGTTGAGAGAATGCCAATAGTGTGCAAAGCTGTCATAAAGGCAAAGGGTGGCTATTTGAAGAATCTCAAATATATTTTGATTTGTTTAACACTTTTTTGATTACTACATGATTCCATGTGTTATTTCATAGTTTTGATGTCTTCACTATTATTCTACAATGTAGCAAATAGTACAAATAAAGAAAGATCCTTGAATGAGTAGGTGTCCAAACTTTTGACTGGTACTGTATATATACACAGTGCATTCGGAAAGTATTCAGAACCCTTGACTTTTTCCACACTTTGTTACGTTCCAGCCCTATTCTAAAATTTATTAAATTGTTATTTTTCCGCATCAATCTACAAACAATACCCCATAATTACAAGGCAAAAACAGGTTTTTATAAATGTATAAACAAATCTACTGAAAAACATTAACATAAGTATTCAGACCCTTCACTTAGTATTTTGTTGAAGCACCTTTGGCAGCGATTACAGCCTCGAGATCTTATTGGGTATGACGCTAGAAGCTTGGGGGAGTTTCTCACATTCTTCTCTACAGATCCTCTCAAGCTCTTCAGGTTGGATGGGGAGTGTCACTGCACAGCTATTTTCAGGTCTCTCCAGAGATGTTCGATCAGGTTCAAGTCCGGGCTCTGGCTGGGCCACTCAAGGACATTCAGAGACTTGTCCCGAAGCCACTCTTGCGTTGTCTTGGCTGTGTGCTTGGGGTGGTTGTCCTGTTGGAAGGTGAACCTTCGCCCCAGTCTGAGGTCCTGATTAGTTTTCATCAAGGATCTCTCTGTACTTTGCTCCGTTCATCTTTCCCTCGATCCTGACTAGTCTCCCAGTCCCTGCCGCTGAAAAACATCCCCACAGCATGATGCTGCCACCACCATGCTTCACCATTGGGATGGTGCCATGTTTCCTCCAGACGTGACCCTTGGCATTCAGGCCAAAGAGTTCAATCTTGGTTTCATCAGACCAGAGAATCTTGTTTCTCATGGTCTGAAAGTCCTTTAGCTGCCTTTTGGCAAACTGAGGAGTGGCTTACGTCTGGCCACTCTACCATAAAGGCCTGATTGGTGGAGTGCTGCAGAGATGTTTGTCCTTCTGGAAGGTTCTCCCATCTCCACAGAGGAACTCTGGAGCTCGGTCAGAGTGACTATCGGGTTCTTGGTCACCTCCCTCGATTGCTCAGTTTGGCCGGGCGGCCCGATCTAGGAAGAGTCTTGGTGATTCCAAACTTCTTCCATTTAAGAATGATGGAGGCCACTGTGTTCTTGGGGACCTTTAATGGTGCAGAAATGTTTTGGTACCCTTTCCCAGATCTGTGCCTCAACATAATCCTGTCTTGGAGCTATACGGACAATTCCTTCCACCTCATGGCTTGGTTTTTTTTTTCATCAGACCAGAGAATCTTGTTTCTCATGGTCTGAGAGTCCTTTAGGTGCCTTTTGGCAAACTCCAAGCAGGCTGTCATGTGCCTTTTACTGAGGAGTGGCTTCCGTCTGGCCACTCTCCATAAAGGCCTGCTTGGTGGAGTGGTGCAGAGATGGTTGTCCTTCTGGAAGGTTCTCCCATCTCCACAGAGGAACTCTGGAGCTATGTCAGAATGACCATCGGGTTCTTGTTCACCTCCCTGACCAAGGCCCTTCTCCACCGATTGCTCAGTTTGACCGGGCGGCCAGGTCTAGGAAGAGTCTTGGTGGTTCCAAACTTCTTCCATTTAAGAATGATGGAGGCCACTGTGTTCTTGGGGACCTTCAATGCTGCAGACATTTTTTGTTACCCTTCCTCAGATCTGTGCCTCGACAAAATCCTGTCTCGGAGCTCTACGAACATTTACTTCAACCTCATGGCTTGGTTTTTGCTCTGACATGCACTGTCAACTGTGGGACCTTATATAGACAGGTGTGTGCCTGTCCAAATCATGTCCAATCAATTGAATTTACCACAGGTGGACTGCAATCAAGTTGTAGAAACATCTCAAGGATGATCAATGGAAACAGGATGCACCTGAGCTCAATTTCAAGTCTCATAGCAAAGATTCTGAATACTAAAAATCTGTTTTCTCTTTGTCATTATGGGGTATTGTTTGTAGATTAAATTAGGAAAATTTTATTTAATCCATTTTAGAATAAGGCTGTAACGTAACAAAATGTGGAAAAAGTCAAGGGGTCCGAATACTTTTCGAATGCACTGTACATCTGGTGTAACAGAAGCAATTATTGGTACCATGATTGTCTTTTTTGTTTTACACTAATATTACATTTACATTTACATTTTAGTCATTTAGCAGACGCTCTTATCCAGAGCGACTTACATATTGCCCACGAAGATTGCAATTTTCAAATTCACTATAATTAAGCGTCATTCTGATTGGTCTAGAGACTACAGCAATTTTCTTTTGAATTTCAATTATCCGGATATCTGCAAAAAAAAAGAATGATATTATTTAAATAGTGAAATAATTTCAAATGCCCATCTATGGGTGTTTTCACACTTGTTCCCTTACAGCCACATTTTTGTGGACACTCAAAAGGAACTCAGACCCCTCAAAAGAGCCACTGAAGCGAACGGAGACCATCTTGAGAGGTGGTCTGAATTCCGTGGTCCGGTTCCCTTTTTTAGGGCAATGTTAACGCAAAGCTCACCAGATTCGCTTGTCATTATTCCCGCACCACCCACCTTTTACCCTGCCATAAACCCTCACATTGGTGCCACAAAAGAGAGAACTCAGACCACCTCTCAGTTCGGTTCAGGGGTTCTTTTAAGGGGTCTGAGTTCCTTTGGAGTGTTCACACTTCACAAAAAATTAAGCAAAACGTACTAAGTTCAAAAAAATTGGCTGAAAGGGACCAAGTGTGAAAACACCCTAACACACACACACACACGTCCCTCCACATTTACACCACACACACCTTCACAATTATACTACAGAACAAACATTTACACAGAATACACATCCCCCCCAAAAGATGTTGGGCTGGGAATTGCCAGGGACCTCACAATACGATATGTATTGCGATTCTATATGTATTGCGATTCTATATGTATTGCGATTTGATACTGAGATTGTATTGCGATTTGATGTTCCAAACATATTGCTCACTATATTTCTGCTGCAGAGACACAAGAGCATGAGAAAATTAGTTTTGATCAGTCATGGAAATAAGTGTTGAAAACATGTTGGCTCACTATTTAAAAATAAGATTTAGAACAATCTACAGGATGAAAAATATCTGCGTTTTGTCACATGAACAGCCGACTAGCGCTAGCTAACGCTACCAAGCATTACAAATCGATACTTGAGTCAAAGTATGAATATAATATTGTCCAAAATAATATTGCGAAATGTAACTACCGATCCCCGCCCCCACCACATCACTAGTGTGTGTGTACTCACAGTTCGTCTCGTTGTCTTTGTGACAGCACCATGTTGGCTGTAGTGGCTGCTCTCTCCCTCTAGGGGAGGCGGGTGAGACAGGGTGAGATGGTGTAGGGGGTGGTTCTCAGGTCCCTCGGTCATTCAGACTTCAACCCTCAGAAACTACAACTGGTGTTCCACACAGAGCGGGCAAAATACAGACACAGAGAGAGAGGCACACAGAGAGAGGCACACAGAGAGAGGCACACAGAGAGAGGCACACAGAGAGAGGCACACAGAGAGAGGCACACAGAAAACACGGGGGAGAAAAGCAAAACAGAGAGGTGGAGGGAGAGAGAAAGATTCAATTTACTGTTGACGGAAAAACAATTACAGATGAGAAATGAACACTGTACACAATGACTGATATCTGCCATTCTGCCTAATGGCAAGGCTCACTGCTCCTTCTCAGTCTGGCCTCTGACTGACAGGTGTGGAACAGGTTTAGGCTAATAGTACTATATCGGATTTTTGTTCTTTTTTCTTCTTCTAAGGGGTAGATCAGCTTTAATATTGCAGCTAGATTGTACCTTCCATCAATGTATTTGTCTGCATCATTTCCAATCCCCCATATATATATATATATATATATAATGAAGGAAAAGCAGCCATATGTGGGAACTCCTTCAAGACTGTTGGAAAAGCATTCCAGGTGAAGCTGGTTGAGAGAATGCCAAGAATGTGCAAAGCTGTCATCAAGGCAAAGGGTGGCTATTTGAAGAATCTCAAATATAAAATATATTTTGATTTGTTTAACACTTTTTTGGTTACTACATGATTCCATGTGTTATTTCATAGTTTTGATGTCTCTACAATGTAAAACAAAAAGAGTAAAAATAAAGAAAAACCCTTGAATGAGTAAGTGTGTCCAAACTTTTGACTGGCAGTGTATTTTCCGCTAACCCTAACACCCCTCCCCTAATTGGAGTAAACTAATGAACAACACTTAGGCTTCTACTTCCAACTTATACACAGTAAGTTAGTACAATATTATATTAAGGTAGCCTAATCTAGTAATAAACAGACACAGAAATCAGTCAATTTGTAGCTCTGCAGCAAAGCATTTCCTTCATGAGCCATAAGACTGCTGGCACCTGGGGTGACAATGGCTATAAGCTGCTTAGTGGCTAGACCACCAAGAGTCTGTCTGTGTAAACATGCTTGCAATTGTTTATGAGGGGCCATGCTTTTTGTATAACTGTGTGTATGAGGGGGATCCATGTGTGTACAATAGACCGCTAATAACAACAGCCTGACCGCTCACCTATGACTAGTGTTGTCACGATACCGGAATTTTGACTTCGATACCAGGTTTAGTATCACGATACTCTATACCAAAACGATACCGCAGCAAAAAAAGGCATATTAGCCAGTCACAGAATGGCACTTGATCCAGACATCTTTTGAGTTCAATGTAATTTAATTTAAATTTTTGTTGAATGTATGCATTAATGAATCAATTACACAACAGGTGTCGCATTAGCTTTAATAAAATCTGCATTTTAAACCATTTCACCTGCACTTTATATTGAAAGTTAACAGTGGTGTTTTGCTTCAATAGAGTGATCAGGGGCGTGCAACTATAGTTTTTCTTCACATAAAATACGTTAGTGCAACGCATTCGGCAGAAAATTATTTATTTTCATCAAATGACAGACGTGCAACAATATTTGGCTACCAGCCACAGAACTAAATTAGCTTACAATGAAAAAGCAAGGTATTTTTTGCAAAAACAATGCATGGCCATCATATTTCTAATGTTTATCATAGAAAGAACGTAGCCAGCTACATTTCCTAATGTTTTGCTTGAAGTTAATCTTGCATTTTAACTTGCTACTGGAGGAAAAACTGCAGTTCGCGAACGAGTCATTCATTTTGAACAACTTTTTTTACTCAAGTCATGATTCATTTTTCTGAGTGACTCGTTCATTTTAGTTGCTCGTTTGACCTGCTAGTGCTGGCCGCGATGAGTCCTACAGCATGATTAACATGGCTTCAGAGATGTGCTCCGACCACCAACTGTCTGTCATAAGTACGCAGGAAAATTGATAATGAGCATAGAGAAGAAACCCTAACCCGAAGTTTAGAACTGATAATTGATCGCATGGTGCAAGATTAACTGAAATTAATTGATTATTGATCATTATGGGCACAGCTTTGTAGAACCAAAACACACACACACACACACACAGCCTCTGCTCAACCTACTCGAACGAATTGTTTGGGGGGGTTGCAGTTCATGAACGACTGTGCTTATCACCTTGGCTGGCTACCCAGACTCCTTTCTCTGGCCAAACGCTACACCCACCGACGTTAGTTTCTTCTCGCAGTGAGAGGTATGTAGCGAACGACAAAGCAGCAGAAGAATTTAGTGTGTCGTCAGGCTACTTATCACCCTCACGGCAGTCAAGCAATGCATTCCGCCAAGAGTTGTTCACCGGTTGCTGCCACAACTAGACCTCGTTTCAAATGTATCAATAAATAATCATATTTGTATGCCTAGCAATCAACAAAATTGTTTAAAGCACGTTTACAATTCTCAGTCACAAATGACAGCTCCAATAAGCCCCCTATGGTGACTGACATGTGAACAAGAGGCTTATAGAATTATGACTCTTTTGAGTTTTCAGTTAAAATCGTTCCCCAGTTGGGGTCCTGCATGCTCTGGACATTACTCAAATGAACGAGTTGAAAAGATCAGAGTTAGTAAAAAGACCTGAACTTCTAATCACTAGAGGAAAGTACCGGAGAACAGTAGCCTACACAGTAAGAGCGCCGTCTGGTGAGCCAATGACAAGAGAAAATATATTTCATCCAAGTGAAGAAGTGCAACTGAAGCACGAAATTAGTTATTTTACATGTATGATTAGGAGCGAACCCTGACTGAAGCCGAGCAGAATGTACAATAAGAAGCATTTTAGATCTGCGTTTACAAAACATTGCAAGATTTTTTTCTGCGTTTTCTTTCCTTTTCTGCGTGAAAAACCCAGAATTCTGGGTTAACATTTACATTTTTACATTTTAGTCATTTAGCAGACGCTCTTATCCAGAGCGACTTACAGTTAGTTTAACAACCCCTGAACAATTATTTAATCAATTTGACTAAGTTTTCTACCAATCTAAGTGCATAACATAATGGTAATAATCTATTTGAATGATAATTCTCTATTGATAAACTGGGTAAATCAAGATGTATGTGCATTTTTCCCATATAAATCAACTGTAGCCCCATGAAATCAGCCAAAAAAAAGCTCAATAATTCTATGCATGAACACTCCTATTGAATATGCATTCACCTGTATTGTGAATTGCATTTTTCCCCCAAGAACAATTCACAATACAGGTGAATGCATATTCAATAGGAGTGTTCATGCATTGAATTATTGAGCTTCTTTTTGGCTGATTTCATGGGGCTACAGTTGACTTATTTGGGACTTATTTTATTGTACCGATCAACAACATTTGCATAGAAGAAGCAATTACTTTTATAAAAGTGCACACTGTCTCTTTAAGACCCATGATATAATTCACATACAGTCAATTCGAGGCTCGAGCAAAGAAGATCTTGAGAGATGTGAGGCATTTATCAAAAGGGTTTTGCATATTATCCCTAGGGTAGTGAATTGATGTTAGCTACAGCTGTAAGCTAGCAAGGAAAGTGAGCCTACAAAGCTGGAAGCTACCGGTATCTTCTTGCATTTGAAAGTGTTCTAGCCTATAATGCCACAGGGGTTAAAACCACAAAAAATCCCAAGACTGAAACTAAATTAAACTGATTGATTGTCTGGGGCAAAGTTAACCTCCCTGCACTATATAACGGATATATTGAAACTAGTGGATATATGGAGGATTAAATATCCTGACCTAGTGAGATATACATGGCGGAGGCTCAATCAAGCTAGTTACATTTACATTTACATTTTAGTCATTTAGCAGACGCTCTTATCCAGAGCGACTTACAGTTAGTGAGTGCATACATTTTTAATTTTTTCATACTGGCCCCCCGTGGGAATCGAACCCACAACCCTGGCGTTGCAAACGCCATGCTCTACCAACTGAACTACATCCCTGCTGGCCATTCCCTCCCCTACCCTGGACGACGCTGGGCCAATTGTGCGCCGCCCCATGGGTCTCCAGGTCACGGCCAGCTACGACAGAGCCTGGATTCGAACCAGGATCTCTAGTGGCACAGCTAGCACTAGCACTGCGATGCAGTGCCTTAGACCACTGCGCCACTCGGGAGATACCTTAGTTGTCTTGACTACTTTCTTATGTAATTCTCGCTGGCACCAAACGTTTTTAAAAAGTGTTGATAGGGGACAGAATGCGATCGGACCGTCAAATAATTGGTATATACATTACTCTTACAGAAGTTCCACGTGGGCGGGGATATTGGAAATATAATCAAAACCTATTGGATGACAAGCTGTTTTTAACCAGGACAGTAGAATTTATAACTTACTTTTTACCAACATTTTGTTTAAGGTACAGCACTTTTAAAATGTGCCTTTTGAGGCCATGCAATTCAATACTCATCTTTAAAACAAAAGCAATTTAGGTCAAAATAATAAATATTAACAAAGGAAATAGAGGGACTAACAGTACAGATAGATAGCAATAAAAACTGTCCCATAGAGGCACAGAATACGTTATAGGAAAAACAAAGAAATGGAGGAGCTTACTCAAGAAAGATCAAGTGTAATATACAATAAAAATAAAGCGAACTGGATGGAATATGGGGAAAAATGCACCAAATTATTTTTTAATCTTCAACATAGAAATGCTACCAAAAATAACTTACTGAAGCTTCTTACAAATGATGGAGTCACCCATGATTCACCAAACAATATTTTGGAAGAGGAAGCAAAGTACTCTTAGCATATGTTTTCATTTCAGTCTCCTCCATCTTTACTAACCAAAGTTAATTATAAGGATTTTTTTCCTATTAATAATGTAAAATTAACAGCTGTACAGGATTACTCATGTGAAGGCCAAAATACAGAGGAGGAACTTCTTGATGCAATTAAAGCCTTTAAGTCCAGGAAAACTCCAGGGCTGGATGGAACACCAGTTTAGGTACAGTGCATTCTTAAATGGAAGAAGTTTGGAACCACCAAGACTCATCCTAGA